AAATAGTCATTAGTCTTTAAAATGAGACATCATCATCATTTTCATTTAAAATGGATAAAAGATTAGCATATTATGATTTATTTATATTATTCACCAGTATATTTAAATTATTTAAATATGGATAAATTCTGCTTATATTCATTTAGAATTAAAAAAGTGCACTTGCAAATAAAAAGCTTATTTCTACTAATCTATATTTTAATAATAAATACATTTTTAAAAAATTTATATTTATTTTAATGTCATTTACTATAAATGACTTTTTTTTTTTTTTTAAATACTTTTTCCGCTCTGTTATACATAACAGAGAGAGTTTGGCAATTGGTCAAAAAATAACCCCCTGAAGATTTTTACATTTTTGGACTCAGAACCTTGAAATGTCAAGAAACGCAAAACAAATTTGGGGATTTTTTTTCTGTATGTATAGTTGTTAGTATGAGTTTGGGGGCATGATTTTATTCACCCTTTTTGAAGCTTAATAATGCCTGTGCTTTTTGTTGAAAATTTCTGAAATTTTGCAGTGAGGTTCACGTATTAGAGGGATTGCTGCTGCTGTTAAATTTTGGCAATTAAAGTTTGAGGGGATGGGGTTAAGGGAAACTTTACCTAACCTTTTTTTTTAGCAAATTACCAATAATAGATTATGATTAACTTATAGTGATTAATCATTTTGCAGCTCATTAGTTACATTCAGACTTTTATCCATATTTTAAGTTTTTATTTATCATTGATTCTCTATTAAAATAAGCAAATTACATAGCATTTATGCATATCAATGAACACTTTATATCACTTTAAATCTTAGATTGAAAGAATGCTACATATGGCAACTTCATTCAATTAGATGGCATCAGAATAAAATTTATTTTATTATTGTTCTCTAACTTGAAAGTAACTTGAAAGTTAAACAATAGTTTTCATCAATCTCATGGAATACCATTTCTGAATTTAAATAATTTAACACCTTCCTGTTATTAAACTCTCCTCTTAACACCTTACACTTATTAACTATTGCTTCATACATTATTAATTAGCTCTTTTAAATGTTTAGACATACCCAAAAAAAGTATATTTATATTGNCTTTTCTTGTTTGATGCAGAAGAATCAGTTCTACTTCGTTTGGATGACATAGTAGAGTCTCTCAAGTCTCTGTAGATATAACAAACACAGAAATAAATAACACAAAATAAATTGTAGCTATATGTCAATTCTGCACAACACGTCCGAACATGTAAGCTACACAATAATTTGGGGGGAGTCATTAATCAAGAGTTGCGTAGCGCTCAAACAAAAGACGAATCGACGAGATTTGAAAATCGTGTAACTACATGTTCGTGTAAGTCGAGGTATTACTGTATTTAAAACTGATACAACTCAAGATTTCTTTTATAATAGACTCCATTTATTGTAGTCATGGATGTTAACATTAGTCATTTAATGTTATCAAAAGTAGCACTTCCCAAAACTATATATTAAAAATACACAATAAAACTTATTATAATTGGAGTTTGGTTATTGCTATCATTGTCTTTTGTAATTATTATTTTTAAGCGATGTTTATGCTATTAGTCTCATTATGTGGTTGATAACATGTAATAATAATTATAAATAGTAAATCTTTGAGTTATATATTTTTTTAATTGTTTTAATAGGTCCCTTTAATGTAAAGTCAATAAAACCATAATTGTCCACTAATTGTAGTCTTTGGGTTTAGAGATTATGTTATATACAAACTGAACCACTTTTGAATTAGGTACAGTGATGATAACAGTAAATAACTGATGAATAGTAAATAAAGTACTAGTTAATTGCTTATTGGTATTTATTTTTTATGATTTCCTTCAATTATAGTTTAATATATCTGAGAAAATTTCATATTATTTACATGATCAAAAGATCTATTTCTATTGTTTGTGGAAAGGTGGCTCCACACATTCAGTATTTTCCAAATGCTGAGCAAACATTTGGCCAATCCCAAGTAGTGTGGGTGATTTACTCATGACTAATATTTGGTATTTGCTGTTTTCTATTCCTTATTGGTATGTGGGTTGTTCAATATGTAATGCAACACAATTTTTTCTCAAAGCAGGTTAGTTTTATTCTAGTTTTAAATACATCACTTTGTTCTCCAATAACTTGGGTACAAAAACATTTTTCTACATAATCTCTATTCAAGTCTATAACTTTATGCCATCTAAATGTGGCAGCCTGTATGCCTTCGTGGTACCACTGTACTGGTCTGCGTTTCAGCAAACTTCTCAGTTTATCAATAACTCCCTGGTTGTTGCCATATCTCTTTCTGTGGATTGCATCTTTCAGAGGATCAAAGAGATGAAAGTCTGAAGGTATGAGATCCAGCTGTAGGGTGGGTGAAGAGAGTCCACCCAAGTTGTGATTGTCTTTTGGATACACAGACTTGTGTTGTGGAGGAGATACCAAATGATACGCTGGATTGTATTGAACTATATTATTCATTATATATTATAGTGCTTCATTTAATATTGAGCAATTTTGCCTAGAGTTAGGCAATTATATCAACATCTTGTAATAAATTTAATAATTATAATATAGCCCAATACAATCTAGCAGATTGTCGGGTATTAATCAAGAATCAGGTTATTTGATGTTTGTTGAGAATGAGAATTTTATTCAAATCTTTGTGATGAAAAACATGCTGGAATCATATGCACATCAGTCTACTATCAGATTTTTCTCAAAAACAAAAAGGAGCATTTTTTTGCTCTGCTATCTCTGTTACATAAGTATATTATTTACATGATGGCTTGGGATAGCAATGTAGTAGTATTCTAGAATAAACCAGCTTTTGTTGAGGAGTGTTGAGATGAATTTTCACATGGGATTTTGGATAAAATTTATATTTATTGCTTATCCAAATATGTGAACATGACTAACAAAGATGCAATGGTCCTTAGAACAGCTGGAAATATGTTCTAGATAATACAGGCTTCACAGGACTTGTTGGCAAGTTAATACAGAAAGTGGCATAATTAGAAGCAGATTTATTTCTATTTATCTTTGTTATCTGTTTACATTTTATTTTATATATGTATTTATATTTTTATTTGCATTATTGATTTTGTCTGTTCTGTGTTGTATTTTCAAATTCAATTGTATTTGTTTTTTTTTGTTTTAAATTTATATTCTATATTGCTGAAGATTGCTCACAAAAACATTCCTGAAATAAAATTTTTGGTTTCCTTAACAAGCAGTGTTGTGGAGTGTTGATAGCATGGTTTGATAATGTACTCTTATCTCAAACAATTGCACTTAAAAATTAAATGTTTAGCTGGAGTCAGAACTAGAAAATTCACCTGGAGAAAAGCTGGAGCTAGAGCCATCCACAAAGACTCTTGCTCCAAAACCCTGTTTTTTGGAACCATTTCTCTATGACAGCTTAAACATTTTTTTCAGAGATGAAATAAATTTCTTTGAGAGTAGTAAGAAACAACCAAAAGTCTGAGAGGTACCAAATCTGGACTGTATGGAAAGTGGGCATGAATTTCAACTCTGAGTTTCTGTATTGTCTCTGATGTGAAAGCACTATAGTCAGAACAGCAAGAGAGTAGACACAAATTGGTCTGAGCAGGAATGGTCTACATCAGATGAAAAGGGTGGAGGAGACATGTGGAATTGACACATAGATCTTAGTTATAATATTTGTAAAAGAAAAAATAAAACACTAAAATTGTTTTTTGATTAATATAGTATAAAAACATTTTAAAAATGTAAAAAACAAAACAGCCAAAAAAAATCAGATTCATGTCTCCTTTTATCTAACATAGATCCTTCCAGCTCAGACTGATTTCATGTCTACTCTTTTGCTGTACTGACTATAGTGTGAAGTCGAGTATTATCATGTTGCAGAATCATTGCTTTTTCCACAGTTCCAATACCATAAACTGTCATTAACTTTGCATGAATATGTTTGGGTAAAACATTTTCATGAGTTAAATATGCTATAACTGATTATTGTTTGACATGCATCAACACATTGAAATATCATCCATTTTAAACACAACTAAATTTGAAATATAACATGTACAATACAATTTTAATGCATCTTCAAATGTAGCTAATGAAAATGAATCATTTGTCATCTAATTGCTTGCTAGGCAATAACTCTTGTACAAAACGTTTGTGAGGAGGCATTACTTATTGAACAGCCTTTTCAGCAAGTTTATTTTAATCTATGATAAAATTTAATACTCCGTTTGAGAATTTTAACAAACAAAATTAATTTGAAGATTTAAATATGTTGTTCTATTATTATTTTATTTAATATACAAGAAATGTATGCTAAATAGCTTAGTTGAAGATGATTATTTATATACAAAAATAGTTATGTTTAAATATGTTAGTGTTTAAATGCTTGAATTCCATTTATCATCAACATCCAACATAGAAAATGCTATATAATCAATGCAGCAAGTCATAATCCATCATTTATGTAGGGTTATTTATTATAACTTACAACTTTATTGATTTGGTTGATGTTGCTGAGATGAATTTATCTAAAATGTATGGAAGAAAATTTTCTTACCAAAGTTAATATTAAAATCTAATGATGATGGAAAGCATTGATTTATTATACAATTTTAAAACATTTTTAAATTGATGAATCAAATGCATTATTTNCAAAATGTCCTAAATCATCTGATAAATTGGAATGAATTATGTCATATTCTCACCTATTTTGTTATCAATTTTTATAATAATACAGATAAAATTTTATTGAAGTTTTCTGCTCGGTCAAATATAAAACAAATGTAAATAGAAACATTTTTTTTTTAAATTCCTGATTATGCACTTGCAGATCTAGCAATTGTATAGTCAAAATTTAATTATATATTAATATTACTGGTAATATTAATTTTAAATAAATATTTTGATAAGATATTTTTAAATTTTTGAGTTTAGTCTATTTTTTATTTACAGCACTGAAATTAAATATATTTGAAATTATTTTCCTTTATATTAGTGTATTGTTCAGTCCTATCTTCAGTGGATTCAAGACAGCGATTATGATCCCATATGCCAATTGTGCAAACAAGAATTATCAGAAGGCGAATGTGTTCGACTGATTTGTTATCGTAAGTTTTTGAAATGTTGATGCTGATAATACATAGTCTGCCATAATTTATTGTAATTTATACTTTTTAGATGTCTTTCATTGGAATTGTTTGGACAACTATGCTTGCCAGTTGCCGGCCCACACTGCACCCGCTGGTTATACGTGTCCTACGTGTAAAACAGTTTTGTTTCCTCAAAAAAATCTTGTCTCTCCCGTTTGTGATGCACTGAAAGCAAAGTTACAGAATGTTAACTGGGCACGGCCAGGATTGGGATTACCGGTGGTAAGTATATATTGCTTGAGAAAACTTTTTGACACATCCACAGTGTAGCTTGTAAAAATATTTAAAATAGTTTGGACATAAAGGTTTGTATGTTAATTCTTATATAGAGTGATTTCAAAAATCATATTACTCATGTGAAACATTATGTGCATTTAAAAAGTACAGGATGGGTGGAAAGTAACTAAGCATTAAGAAATTTCTATATTTCTAATGTGAAGATGAAAATTATTTGACATGTATCTTATTAAATGGAAATATGGATGCATACCTTAAAATTTGATTATTAATCACCAGAAACAAACAAAAATTCATCATAAGATAACTATATCTTTATTTTCTTTGATAAGTCAAAAATGTTTGTTGAACAAATAGGTAGGTTGTTCTACAATCATTCATCCTTTTCAACTGCTTAAATACAATCATTCTTCCTTTTAATAGAGGGTTAAATGAATTATATTTTAAAGCTGTTGCTCGAGCACATAGCTGCTATATAAGTGTCAATTGCATTATGAAGTGAAGTTAACCTTAGGAACTTTAATAAAAAAGTTTTACCATTCATTTGATAGAGAAAGAATGGCTAAAAGTAGAAAATGAAGCGTGAAAAAAGATATCTAAACTCTTTTTAAAAGACTTGGGTAATTGGAAAGTGTCAACTTTTGTTTGATATACAAATTTTCAAATATTAAGATATAAACTTGTCCTGGCATTCTCTTTAATTGCAGATCACTTCAGTAAACTCCACTGGACACAACAAGGACCAACTTCTCAAAAAAAAAAAATGATATTTACAAATTAGCGAGCATTTGTTGCTTAGAAGGTCATATTTACTCATTATGGGAAAGATTAGATAACAATGACACACATTTTATCATTCACATAAAATCTTGACAAAATCAAAATGAAAGAATGGCACTGGTTTTGATCTTTCCTTTTTTTATATTAAATCCTACATAGGCTATATTAGATGAAAACAAATACTTTATGAATATGCATTTCTGCGTGCGACAGTATATGATAAAAAACTAGAGCTAAATACTTTTTACAAAAAAGAACTGAAGAAAAGAAAGGTTTTAGAGAGAATTGTAAAGAGGAATGTGGCAAAAAGATATTTTAATCTTTTCAGAGAACTTAAAAAATATTGTAATGTGTTTTATGCGTTCTTCTCACTGGTATAAGTGAAAAGCAGAAAGAAATATTTATGGGTTATTAAATCTCTACCTGCATTACTATAACCAATTAATAAACTCCAAATACTTTTAAAATGCAGTCTATTTTAAACAACTTATCAAGTATAAACTTAAGTATATAACTTTTAAACAAGAATATAAGATTTAAGCAACCAGTCACGGCTTTGGCTAATTATGCAATTGCGGATCCAACAGAGATTGCAATCGAATGGAGCAAGGCAGATGTTATACAAAAAATTGGTAATAGATGACATCTAAAGTATGCAGAAGCCTGGCACATTTATAAATACAGGGGAAAAGGGCAAAATATAAATTTTCGAGAATCAAACAAAATAGCATCAGCATGGAAAGCTGCAGCATTACAATTATAAAGAACAAATGGACTTGCGCAATTAAATCTGAGAAGATTGTAAAGCATACATTTTGGAATTTCCATTTGGCAAATTTAAATTCTGTTAGTTTGATCCTGAAGAAGGTCCGTCAATTTGACCAAAAACGTTTGATAAGTTGTTTAAAATAGACTGCATTTTAAAGGTATTTGGAGTTTATTAATATTTATGGGTTATTCATGTTATACCCTTAGATATTCCCCAGATTGGCCATGGTAGGTGTTTTTTTTTTTTTTTTATAGAGGTAGCAATGTATATGCAGAACTTTTTCTGGATGTATCATTAAATTGCTGCTTATATTAATGGATTGAACATGTTAATTAACGTAACTGTAATTATCAGTTCCTCTAAGTTTTTGGGTAATATGACTTTTGGATCACTTGTATTTCTATAGTTACAAATATTAAAAGTATATAATGTTAAAATAAATATTAAAATATAATGTGATGTTTTTAATTTCACTTCAGATTGATGATAATTTAACATCTAAAAATTCTAAGTCAGTAACACAAAAAGAAATGGATGTGCCTTCTGAACAAATAGCGGCGTCGCTCGGAGATACTTCCAAATCACCGAAATCGGAAATTCCGAGAAGCCACATTCCAACAAAACCGCACAGTGTTGTAAGCATGGAAGGAATGAACCATAATTTTCAAATAGATCCTTATAACAATTCTTCAGTTTTTTCTGCCGGTAGAAAATTATTTCCATTATTAATAATTATTATTTATTTTAGGAATGTTTAACATTTGCATTTCTAAATTATCTTAGCTCATTTATCGTCTCCCCGTAAACTGTATGATTCAACTGGACATGATGCATTCCGGCCCATGCCCATCGATCACGACGAAGATAAATATAAGAGAAGATCAGCGATGGAATGGTTTTCAAGATGGTTCAAGTAAGAATTGTTTGAATAAACAATTGATAATATTCATCTATGCATTATTACCATTAGAAACAAATATTACCATTAGAAATTTTTAAACTTCATATACATCTCTTTTTAAATATGAAGGATGGATTTAATACAAAAAGTTCATACATTCTGCAATTTAACTGATGATACATGATGTCTGAAAAATTCATTTTGAATTAAATATATAAAGTATAAACTGAACAAACATATATATATATTTATTTTTACAACCCTCAACAGTTTAAATCTTAAAAATGGTAAATGACTTTTTACCAGTTGTCTTGAAATTTTAAATTCATTGAGAAAATTTATTCTTCAGAGTTAATGAACCTTACAGAAAAAAATGAAAAGATAGTTTGCAGTTAACAATTTCTTTTCTTCGTTGATTCTAAAGAGGTGTTATAAACAGCATCCAGGACTTCCAGTTTCAAACTTTCTAAGATATAATTATATTTATTCAAAAATGTTCTTCACTTCCTTTAAACGATATAGATATGTGGCTTCTTATAGAATTTGTTTTGTTAGAACTAAATAGAAAATGTTTGACATATTATTGCTGCTGCTGCTGCTGTCATATTCAAAGCTTGAAGCATTGGTCATATTAATCACAATATATATGCATACGCTCTTATCAACTTTAGATATAAATCATCATATATAATTGAATTTTTTATATGCATTTAATCTCTTAAAGCTCTGGAATATATGAATATGATTCAATAAGTACTTAAAAGAAAAAATTATTGTGATGACATTCTTCATCTCTTTAACATAGGTCGAGGACCATTCTTGGAGGGCACTCCCGTCGCGATCCGAATCTCGTCTACAAACGCTGGTTTATTTTAGTGGTGCTGTGCTTTGTCGGATTATGTACACTGATTCTTATATTTGTGCGACTGGGACGTGCCAGCGCCGACACCGATCCACTGCTGGATCCTCTCCTGAATCCCAACATTCGCATTGAAGACAAACTAGATGTGGCTAAAGTGGACAAAATGGATGGACAGGAAGGCGGTGCGGGAGGAAACGGCGTCCTGGACAGCAGGGGATGAAGATGGATTTCAACTGAGGTTCGATCATCCTCGGCGAGAAGCCAGTCCGAGACTGAGTCGAGTTGCGTTTGCACACACGACGAAAGACAAAATTCTGGACTCGTTGCCAAAATACATTTAGTCATTGTAACGACCGTAAAATATTATTTATATTTAAATATCCGAAATACAATGTGTTAAACAATAATGTTTCTGTGGGTCAATGGCGATAATTTCGAATAAATTGCATCCGACTTCTGCCCATGTCTAGATTTTAAAGCAAATTTTTCTAAATTGTAACAAGCTACTTTTGTATAAAGTTTTTTATTTTTTAAAAAACCTTAGAAAATATTTCCCAGTTTTGGATATTGTTATTTATTTACAATTCTCATAATATATAAAGAAAAACTGAGTTGCATTTAGAACTTGTTATTGTCATGTTTCAGTTAAGCTAGAATATGTAAATGGAAAAAGAAATTGTTGGCAATATGCCATTTGTATATTTTACCAAATTTAAATAAAGAGGAATTTTTTCAAAATTTCTCAATTTTAAAATGTCCAATTTAATTGACTTTGTTACTTTTCTCTCAAAACATAGATAGAAAGACCAATAATTAAGTAAGTACTTAATGCCCTGGAATAAAGAGAACCCTTGATGACTGACCCAGACATGTTGTGCCGAGGCTTTAGCCATCTTGGCCATTGGGTTATCAAAATACTTACTGAAGGGGCTATATGCATGCAATTTTATTTACTGTTTTCAAGCAACATTAATTTGATTATTTTATTTCCTTCTTTGTTCTGAGATAGAGTGGAATCACCATGCTGTAACCTGTATGTGGAGGATGTGGTGGATTGGCTCATTTTTGGATGAAAAGCAAACCACAGTTGAGATCCAATGCAGAGGCAATAAAGTTCTCAAAAAGAACTTTGTGACTTTTGAACGTGCACATTTATTACAAAAAATTTTCAGTGACGACAGTTTTTGTGCATGAAAAACATCAAAACTGCAGAAAGAAATAAGTTGAGTGATTCCCATTTAACTAACATTCTTAGTTAAGACTAGTACCATAAAAGCAGATACTAACAACATTATAAAAGGAAGGCAATGTCAAAAATTGCATTATATTTATTTTTATTTTGTGGGAGTATAATTTTTTTACTGATAATATTTTTTGCAATTATATACAGGGTGGGCCAACAAAAACGAAACGGCAGAGATATTGTGTTCGTCCAAGCAAATCGCTCGGACAGGTCGATTTTATTCTCAAGGGGGACATCTTCAGCAATAAAGTTTTTGCGATTCTGAATACAACAGACAACAAAAAATTTTAAAAACTCATTCATTTTTTATTAACTAAACAAACATTTATTTCAAATAAAGTAACAAAAACTTTCAGAATCATAAAAACATTCAGAATCGCAAAAACTTAATTGATGAAGATGTCCCCCTTGAGAATAAAATCGACCTGTCTGAGCGATTTGCTTGGACGAACGCGATAACTCTGCCGTTTCGTTTTCGTTGGTCCACCCTGTATATTACTGTACAGTAGAGCATTGATTATCTGACCCACGATTAACCATCACATCGGTTAATCGATCGTTCTAATCGGCAAATTTCAAATGTCCGCTAGTGATGTGGCACTACAATTTTGGCTATGTCTTGGCTACTTTATTATTATTTTTGTTAAATTTGTGCATGTTTTAGCTGGCAACACTGGCTTGACCATTGAAGGGAGGCCAGTATTTAAACGAGACTTAATTTTCTAATTATGAGTGGTGGTGTTTTGTTTTGTGAGCAATAAAAGAACTTAAAAATAATTTTTAACGATACAATAGCGACGATTATTATTTAAAAAAAAATTTGTTAGGATTAATATCAATGAAAATTCAACGCGAAGTTAATTAATAATAGCGATATACTATACTAATAATATATTTTTTTCATTCTTTTCAGTTATCTGACCAACCTGAGTCCCCAATTCAGTCGGATAATCGATACTCTACTGTATTTGTTATTTTGATATTCACATTTTGAACTTTTTAAAAGCATTGATGTAAAGTATCTTTGTGGCACGCTGAATACAGTATATGTAAATTTCTCATTTGGCCCATTAGGAACAAAGGATGGACAACCCTCCTCTAGGGGATGGTAAGTAAATCTAGGGGGTGAAAAGAATCAGAGAGGCAGCAGGGTTTGGGTCACCAACAACCATTCCCTTTCCTCCATTAAGAAGCTTTGCATTTAATGGTTTCCAGATGTAAAGAACAATATACAGTAAGGGCCCATAGTGTGAGAATCATAGAAAAGCTTTCCTAAGAATATTTCCAAGCCTTTCTCACTTACGGGAAAAGCAAGTTTGGACATTGGGTACAGGTGTTAAGTTTATGGAAAGTGACTTGAAAAAGTTTGGGAATTGCTGTTCTAACAGCTCTAGGATTTTGCAGCTTGGTAAATTAGATCGAGCTTTATTATATGGCCTGCTGCATTGCTGCAAAGTAACATGTAGGCTTTAAGATAGTAATGGATTGGGCCAAGCTTTCTTTTTTCCAATGCATTGGAAAAAAGAAGCTAGGGGCACCTATATAATCATCGCAATGGTTATATAGGTGTCCTGAGGCCTCTACTGAAACAATGCAGTCACATTAAATGGCCATAGGGTCTTCATCTGTTATTGTTGACAAACTTCTTTGGTCGCATATGGACTTTAACAGTCTAGCTATCACTCAAGGCAAACTTTTCTGTAATCTTTTTACATTGCAAAGTGAATAACACCTTTTGAACCAGTCTTAACTAGCAATGAAAGTTGTCTTCAACTACAGATGTAACTAATACCAATCTGTTTACAAACCAATACTGAAGTATTGTATCAAACTTACATATAAAAAAAATTGGAATATGTATATCCTTTACATTGCTGTGTCTGAATGATGCCATGGCAAAACAATGGAATATCATGCTGTAAAACTAACCCATGGTAAACAGTAGTCTTTGCTGCATGTGACTTGCCATCGGTGGCCACAAGACAAGGTTTTTGCTTTTGCAGTAGGTAGGGAGCACTACTTTGCGAAAGACTTGATGCAAATTTTTTTTATATGACCAGGATAAGCAAAAGCATCTTTGACCTGCACTACAATTGGTTAAAACTTGTCGGCTGTCACAAAGTGCGTGGTCTATGTTATCCATCTGATTTCCATTGTCTCTTTAAACTCTGTATCATTGCAAATTGCGAGAAATCAGACAATTATCATTTTGCATATTCCTAAGATATACAGCATACAGTAATGAGCATCATTTTGTTTTTAAATTTGTATATGTGACTGTGAGTTAGTTATTGCTTTGTTTAGATTAGCACTCTTTCTATATTTTATTCTGGTTCTAGAAATGTTTTACATAATTACTAAATGCTAGTTGTTTTTCTCTAGAAAGTGATTGCTATGGAAAATTTTATAACTGAAATGAATATTTATTAATAATTTTAATTGAAAAGTAGGATCCAAACACCGTAACAGAATATGCTTAGCACTTTACTTGTGACACATTTTGACCAATTACAGACTGAGCCAATGGTGCTTTTGCTTATTCTACCTGTATTAAAAAATTTTGCAGACCAGACATGTTTTTAGCAATAGATGGGCAATATTTCAAGCCAGTTGGTGATTTGGCAACATTTTCCCAAAAAACGAGGTTGTAGTCAGGCCCATTTTTAGGAAAAATTTCAAATACACCGTGGATAAATTTATAATTGTATAGAAAAATTTAGGCCTTAGGCAATAAAAAATGCCTAATTGCCTGAGGCCCCAACCCAAAGAGCCCATAAATCAATTTGTAAACTGTTATTTCTTCATATTTGAATTCAAATGATTAGTGAATGAAGTGAATATTCTCTAGCCAATGAACAAGCTTTCATGCTTTCATTATTGACACCTGTAGAGTTTGGATGAAAGTAAGTATTGGCAGAATTCGGTACTGTGCCATCTCTATCTGCAACACCTGCCAGTTGAGGAAGTTCATTGCTTAAATTTTTTATGAAGCATGAAGACCTTGGTAGAAATATTAACAACATACCTGTGGATTTTAGTATTTTGTTGATCTTCAATCCAAATGATAATACATTCACCATTTTCATCTTTATCACACAACTCATATATTTAGCAGAACAAATTCCATCAGCTTTCACCACCTCTCTGATTTCAATTTATATACAGTAGATCCCCCTATAACGCTTAGATACGTTCCACGCTAATCGAATTTTACGTTGTAGGAATGATTAAATACATGAACCAATCGCAGCCCGATAGGTGTGAACTTTACGGACTAAGGCTGTTTGAAAGGTTTTCTTTTATAAAATTAACCGATTCTAGAGTAATTCCACTCAGCATTTCCAAAACGTATAATTTTTTGGGAATAATCTGTATAAACTATGCTATAAACAAAAAATTATAGGATTACTTACCGAGTTTGTACCGTTCGACTACGCCGTTGCTCAAAGCTTGTCTTCGTCGTGGAACAGCACACGAAACGGCGGCCACGATTTCTGATAAATAATTTTTCGCAGAAAAATAACTTGACCTTTGGAGACATCATTAATATAAATAATTTTTATGGCCGTTGAATAAGAAGTGTTTCTTTCACAAGAAATGTATAAAATTAGTGCTGTATTAGACTTACGGTACCTAATTTACATACTGTGCAGACGATAATAAACTCAACTTACTAGCCTAAAATCTCCGTAGCGTGTTGCCAGGCGGCAGAAAGCATATATATAATTATAATAAAGTTACAATAAATTAAGTTAATATATAATTATATATACAGTACCTAATTTATATATAATTAATATATAATTATATGTACAGTACCTAATTTATATATAATTTATATATAATACTAAACAGACGATAGCAAACTCAATTTAGCCGCTCCGTAGCGTGGCGCAGGGTCGGAGGAAAGTAGTTCGGCTGCTCATCCACTATTGGTCCAGACTCTATCAATCTTGTCGCGAAACGAGTTGGCGAAGACATTATAGAAGATGCTTTATACGAATGTTGCTACAATTTTTTCGCTACGTTATAGGAATTGTCGTTATAGGAACGTACATTATAGGGGGGTCGACTGTACATATAAAATGTAATAGAATGTTTAAATTAATAATTGGTATCAAATATACAGTCATGTATGAGAAACCTTCTTACATTTATCTATAAGTTGCACTTTCTCATCTAAAGCCATAATTTTTAGTCTTTTCTGCATCACTAGATGTGCTTTCTTTACAACTCATGAGGTTCACTTAAATTTTGTAGTTTTTATGTATAAGCAACATCGAAGCATTATCATATGAGAAAAAAAAATTATCAAGTTTTTCATGTAGAAAATTGTTTCAAATTTTTATACCATTACTTTTGCCCCATAATTGAATTTCATAATAAAAATAGAATTTTTAATAAACAGAATCACTTCTGTGCATTTGAGGGTTAACCTAACCATTCACTGTTTTTTAAGACCAAAGAAAAATTTTGTATTTCCAAGATACAAAACTATGCAGCAGTTGCTCTCAGTAAATAAATAGGATATATTTATTATCATAATTGTACACAATCCCCAGACAATTAATATCTGGTACTAAACTGTACCAAATACAAATTATGCAGGGACATTTAGAACTTGCTGTCATCACTTTTTGGTGAATTTAAATACATATACGAATGGAAGTATTTTCGTTAAATTAAACTTAAAATAAATGACAGTTTTTCAAAATTTCTCTCTCTATCAAAATATATAAAATTGAAACACAAAATTGTGATTTTCTTTGTAATTTTATTTTATTTTCCATATAAATTATAAATATAAAATTGCTTTCTTGTAAAGAATACAAAATAGTACGGTCACAGACATCTAGAAAATTCACAGATCTCTTGCTCGATCGATGTTTACACTGCTACGACAATATGAAATGTCCAAAAAAAACCATTAAAATAGCATATTATTCTATGCACGCAATTATAATATTTTAATGTTAGAATAATTTATTTACATACACGGAAGTGTGGCAAAGTATAAAGAAAACAAAAGGCATTTCTTGGCGTGGTAAAGCTACTACTTGCCACCATCTCTTGGCCGATGAAACAATTTTGCGTAAATTGTAAAATTTAAAATTGTTTGCTTGTTAAAGCTTTATAATACTGCTAAGTTTAGCAAATAGCAATATTTTTTTTGAAAGTGAGCACTTGTCTGAAAGTACATTTTGGTGCATCTTTTGTTTGTGTTTATGTATAGTTTAAAATAAATTAATTTTTAATATTCCTGATATTAAAAGGGATTCTATATAAATTATAATTTTTATNAATTAGAAGCAGATTTATTTCTATTTATCTTTGTTATCTGTTTACATTTTATTTTATATATGTATTTATATTTTTATTTGCATTATTGATTTTGTCTGTTCTGTGTTGTATTTTCAAATTCAATTGTATTTGTTTTTTTTTGTTTTAAATTTTATATATAAACTTTTTCTCTGTAATTTTCTTATAAATATATTCCACATTTATGAAATAATTATTATTTATTTTAGGAATGTTTAACATTTGCATTTCTAAATTATCTTAGCTCATTTATCGTCTCCCCGTAAACTGTATGATTCAACTGGACACGATGCATTCCGGCCCATGCCCATCGATCATGACGAAGATAAATATAAGAGAAGATCAGCGATGGAATGGTTTTCAAGATGGTTCAAGTAAGAATTGTTTGAATAAACAATTGATAATATTCATCTATGCATTATTACCATTAGAAACAAATATTACCATTAGAAATTTTTAAACTTCATATACATCTCTTTTTAAATATGAAGGATGGATTTAATACAAAAAGTTCATACATTCTGCAATTTAACTGATGATACATGATGTCTGAAAAATTCATTTTGAATTAAATATATAAAGTATAAACTGAACAAACATATATATATATTTATTTTTACAACCCTCAACAGTTTAAATCTTAAAAATGGTAAATGACTTTTTACCAGTTGTCTTGAAATTTTAAATTCATTGAGAAAATTTATTCTTCAGAGTTAATGAACCTTACAGAAAAAAATGAAAAGATAGTTTGCAGTTAACAATTTCTTTTCTTCGTTGATTCTAAAGAGGTGTTATAAACAGCATCCAGGACTTCCAGTTTCAAACTTTCTAAGATATAATTATATTTATTCAAAAATGTTCTTCACTTCCTTTAAACGATATAGATATGTGGCTTCTTATAGAATTTGTTTTGTTAGAACTAAATAGAAAATGTTTGACATATTATTGCTGCTGCTGCTGCTGTCATATTCAAAGCTTGAAGCATTGGTCATATTAATCACAATATATATGCATACGCTCTTATCAACTTTAGATATAAATCATCATATATAATTGAATTTTTTATATGCATTTAATCTCTTAAAGCTCTGGAATATATGAATATGATTCAATAAGTACTTAAAAGAAAAAATTATTGTGATGACATTCTTCATCTCTTTAACATAGGTCGAGGACCATTCTTGGAGGGCACTCCCGTCGCGATCCGAATCTCGTCTACAAACGCTGGTTTATTTTAGTGGTGCTGTGCTTTGTCGGATTATGTACACTGATTCTTATATTTGTGCGACTGGGACGTGCCAGCGCCGACACCGATCCACTGCTGGATCCTCTCCTGAATCCCAACATTCGCATTGAAGACAAACTAGATGTGGCTAAAGTGGACAAAATGGATGGACAGGAAGGCGGTGCGGGAGGAAACGGCGTCCTGGACAGCAGGGGATGAAGATGGATTTCAACTGAGGTTCGATCATCCTCGGCGAGAAGCCAGTCCGAGACTGAGTCGAGTTGCGTTTGCACACACGACGAAAGACAAAATTCTGGACTCGTTGCCAAAATACATTTAGTCATTGTAACGACCGTAAAATATTATTTATATTTAAATATCCGAAATACAATGTGTTAAACAATAATGTTTCTGTGGGTCAATGGCGATAATTTCGAATAAATTGCATCCGACTTCTGCCCATGTCTAGATTTTAAAGCAAATTTTTCTAAATTGTAACAAGCTACTTTTGTATAAAGTTTTTTATTTTTTAAAAAACCTTAGAAAATATTTCCCAGTTTTGGATATTGTTATTTATTTACAATTCTCATAATATATAAAGAAAAACTGAGTTGCATTTAGAACTTGTTATTGTCATGTTTCAGTTAAGCTAGAATATGTAAATGGAAAAAGAAATTGTTGGCAATATGCCATTTGTATATTTTACCAAATTTAAATAAAGAGGAATTTTTTCAAAATTTCTCAATTTTAAAATGTCCAATTTAATTGACTTTGTTACTTTTCTCTCAAAACATAGATAGAAAGACCAATAATTAAGTAAGTACTTAATGCCCTGGAATAAAGAGAACCCTTGATGACTGACCCAGACATGTTGTGCCGAGGCTTTAGCCATCTTGGCCATTGGGTTATCAAAATACTTACTGAAGGGGCTATATGCATGCAATTTTATTTACTGTTTTCAAGCAACATTAATTTGATTATTTTATTTCCTTCTTTGTTCTGAGATAGAGTGGAATCACCATGCTGTAACCTGTATGTGGAGGATGTGGTGGATTGGCTCATTTTTGGATGAAAAGCAAACCACAGTTGAGATCCAATGCAGAGGCAATAAAGTTCTCAAAAAGAACTTTGTGACTTTTGAACGTGCACATTTATTACAAAAAATTTTCAGTGACGACAGTTTTTGTGCATGAAAAACATCAAAACTGCAGAAAGAAATAAGTTGAGTGATTCCCATTTAACTAACATTCTTAGTTAAGACTAGTACCATAAAAGCAGATACTAACAACATTATAAAAGGAAGGCAATGTCAAAAATTGCATTATATTTATTTTTATTTTGTGGGAGTATAATTTTTTTACTGATAATATTTTTTGCAATTATATACAGGGTGGGCCAACAAAAACGAAACGGCAGAGATATTGTGTTCGTCCAAGCAAATCGCTCGGACAGGTCGATTTTATTCTCAAGGGGGACATCTTCAGCAATAAAGTTTTTGCGATTCTGAATACAACAGACAACAAAAAATTTTAAAAACTCATTCATTTTTTATTAACTAAACAAACATTTATTTCAAATAAAGTAACAAAAACTTTCAGAATCATAAAAACATTCAGAATCGCAAAAACTTAATTGATGAAGATGTCCCCCTTGAGAATAAAATCGACCTGTCTGAGCGATTTGCTTGGACGAACGCGATAACTCTGCCGTTTCGTTTTCATTGGTCCACCCTGTATATTACTGTACAGTAGAGCATTGATTATCTGACCCACGATTAACCATCACATCGGTTAATCGATCGTTCTAATCGGCAAATTTCAAATGTCCGCTAGTGATGTGGCACTACAATTTTGGCTATGTCTTGGCTACTTTATTATTATTTTTGTTAAATTTGTGCATGTTTTAGCTGGCAACACTGGCTTGACCATTGAAGGGAGGCCAGTATTTAAACGAGACTTAATTTTCTAATTATGAGTGGTGGTGTTTTGTTTTGTGAGCAATAAAAGAACTTAAAAATAATTTTTAACGATACAATAGCGACGATTATTATTTTAAAAAAAATTTGTTAGGATTAATATCAATGAAAATTCAACGCGAAGTTAATTAATAATAGCGATATACTATACTAATAATATATTTTTTTCATTCTTTTCAGTTATCCGACCAACCTGAGTCCCCAATTCAGTCGGATAATCGATACTCTACTGTATTTGTTATTTTGATATTCACATTTTGAACTTTTTAAAAGCATTGATGTAAAGTATCTTTGTGGCACGCTGAATACAGTATATGTAAATTTCTCATTTGGCCCATTAGGAACAAAGGATGGACAACCCTCCTCTAGGGGATGGTAAGTAAATCTAGGGGGTGAAAAGAATCAGAGAGGCAGCAGGGTTTGGGTCACCAACAACCATTCCCTTTCCTCCATTAAGAAGCTTTGCATTTAATGGTTTCCAGATGTAAAGAACAATATACAGTAAGGGCCCATAGTGTGAGAATCATAGAAAAGCTTTCCTAAGAATATTTCCAAGCCTTTCTCACTTACGGGAAAAGCAAGTTTGGACATTGGGTACAGGTGTTAAGTTTATGGAAAGTGACTTGAAAAAGTTTGGGAATTGCTGTTCTAACAGCTCTAGGATTTTGCAGCTTGGTAAATTAGATCGAGCTTTATTATATGGCCTGCTGCATTGCTGCAAAGTAACATGTAGGCTTTAAGATAGTAATGGATTGGGCCAAGCTTTCTTTTTTCCAATGCATTGGAAAAAAGAAGCTAGGGGCACCTATATAATCATCGCAATGGTTATATAGGTGTCCTGAGGCCTCTACTGAAACAATGCAGTCACATTAAATGGCCATAGGGTCTTCATCTGTTATTGTTGACAAACTTCTTTGGTCGCATATGGACTTTAACAGTCTAGCTATCACTCAAGGCAAACTTTTCTGTAATCTTTTTACATTGCAAAGTGAATAACACCTTTTGAACCAGTCTTAACTAGCAATGAAAGTTGTCTTCAACTACAGATGTAACTAATACCAATCTGTTTACAAACCAATACTGAAGTATTGTATCAAACTTACATATAAAAAAAATTGGAATATGTATATCCTTTACATTGCTGTGTCTGAATGATGCCATGGCAAAACAATGGAATATCATGCTGTAAAACTAACCCATGGTAAACAGTAGTCTTTGCTGCATGTGACTTGCCATCGGTGGCCACAAGACAAGGTTTTTGCTTTTGCAGTAGGTAGGGAGCACTACTTTGCGAAAGACTTGATGCAAATTTTTTTTATATGACCAGGATAAGCAAAAGCATCTTTGACCTGCACTACAATTGGTTAAAACTTGTCGGCTGTCACAAAGTGCGTGGTCTATGTTATCCATCTGATTTCCATTGTCTCTTTAAACTCTGTATCATTGCAAATTGCGAGAAATCAGACAATTATCATTTTGCATATTCCTAAGATATACAGCATACAGTAATGAGCATCATTTTGTTTTTAAATTTGTATATGTGACTGTGAGTTAGTTATTGCTTTGTTTAGATTAGCACTCTTTCTATATTTTATTCTGGTTCTAGAAATGTTTTACATAATTACTAAATGCTAGTTGTTTTTCTCTAGAAAGTGATTGCTATGGAAAATTTTATAACTGAAATGAATATTTATTAATAATTTTAATTGAAAAGTAGGATCCAAACACCGTAACAGAATATGCTTAGCACTTTACTTGTGACACATTTTGACCAATTACAGACTGAGCCAATGGTGCTTTTGCTTATTCTACCTGTATTAAAAAATTTTGCAGACCAGACATGTTTTTAGCAATAGATGGGCAATATTTCAAGCCAGTTGGTGATTTGGCAACATTTTCCCAAAAAACGAGGTTGTAGTCAGGCCCATTTTTAGGAAAAATTTCAAATACACCGTGGATAAATTTATAATTGTATAGAAAAATTTAGGCCTTAGGCAATAAAAAATGCCTAATTGCCTGAGGCCCCAACCCAAAGAGCCCATAAATCAATTTGTAAACTGTTATTTCTTCATATTTGAATTCAAATGATTAGTGAATGAAGTGAATATTCTCTAGCCAATGAACAAGCTTTCATGCTTTCATTATTGACACCTGTAGAGTTTGGATGAAAGTAAGTATCGGCAGAATTCGGTACTGTGCCATCTCTATCTGCAACACCTGCCAGTTGAGGAAGTTCATTGCTTAAATTTTTTATGAAGCATGAAGACCTTGGTAGAAATATTAACAACATACCTGTGGATTTTAGTATTTTGTTGATCTTCAATCCAAATGATAATACATTCACCATTTTCATCTTTATCACACAACTCATATATTTAGCAGAACAAATTCCATCAGCTTTCACCACCTCTCTGATTTCAATTTATATACAGTAGATCCCCCTATAACGCTTAGATACGTTCCACGCTAATCGAATTTTACGTTGTAGGAATGATTAAATACATGAACCAATCGCAGCCCGATAGGTGTGAACTTTACGGACTAAGGCTGTTTGAAAGGTTTTCTTTTATAAAATTAACCGATTCTAGAGTAATTCCACTCAGCATTTCCAAAACGTATAATTTTTTGGGAATAATCTGTATAAACTATGCTATAAACAAAAAATTATAGGATTACTTACCGAGTTTGTACCGTTCGACTACGCCCTTGCTCAAAGCTTGTCTTCGTCGTGGAACAGCACACGAAACGGCGGCCACGATTTCTGATAAATAATTTTTCGCAGAAAAATAACTTGACCTTTGGAGACATCATTAATATAAATAATTTTTATGGCCGTTGAATAAGAAGTGTTTCTTTCACAAGAAATGTATAAAATTAGTGCTGTATTAGACTTATGGTACCTAATTTACATACTGTACAGATGATAATAAACTCAACTTATTGCCTAAAATCTCCATAGCGTGGCGCCACGCTAGGCGGCGGAAATTATATATTTAATTATAATAAAGTTACAATAAGTTAATATATAATTATATATACAGTACCTAATTAATATATAATTATATGTACAGTACCTAATTTATATATAATACTGTACAGACGATACCAACTCAATTTAGCCGCTCCGTAGCGTGGCGCAGGGTCGGAGGAAAGTAGTTCGGCTGCTCATCCACTATTGGTCCAGACTCTATCAATCTTGTCGCGAAACGAGTTGGCGAAGACATTTTAGGAGATGCTTTATACGAATGTTGCTACAATTTTTTCGCTACGTTATAGGAATTGTCGTTATAGGAACGTACATTATAGGGGGGTCGACTGTACATATAAAATGTAATAGAATGTTTAAATTAATAATTGGTATCAAATATACAGTCATGTATGAGAAACCTTCTTACATTTATCTATAAGTTGCACTTTCTCATCTAAAGCCATAATTTTTAGTCTTTTCTGCATCACTAGATGTGCTTTCTTTACAACTCATGAGGTTCACTTAAATTTTGTAGTTTTTATGTATAAGCAACATCGAAGCATTATCATATGAGAAAAAAAAATTATCAAGTTTTTCATGTAGAAAATTGTTTCAAATTTTTATACCATTACTTTTGCCCCATAATTGAATTTCATAATAAAAATAGAATTTTTAATAAACAGAATCACTTCTGTGCATTTGAGGGTTAACCTAACCATTCACTGTTTTTTAAGACCAAAGAAAAATTTTGTATTTCCAAGATACAAAACTATGCAGCAGTTGCTCTCAGTAAATAAATAGGATATATTTATTATCATAATTGTACACAATCCCCAGACAATTAATATCTGGTACTAAACTGTACCAAATACAAATTATGCAGGGACATTTAGAACTTGCTGTCATCACTTTTTGGTGAATTTAAATACATATACGAATGGAAGTATTTTCGTTAAATTAAACTTAAAATAAATGACAGTTTTTCAAAATTTCTCTCTCTATCAAAATATATAAAATTGAAACACAAAATTGTGATTTTCTTTGTAATTTTATTTTATTTTCCATATAAATTATAAATATAAAATTGCTTTCTTGTAAAGAATACAAAATAGTACGGTCACAGACATCTAGAAAATTCACAGATCTCTTGCTCGATCGATGTTTACACTGCTACGACAATATGAAATGTCCAAAAAAAACCATTAAAATAGCATATTATTCTATGCACGCAATTATAATATTTTAATGTTAGAATAATTTATTTACATACACGGAAGTGTGGCAAAGTATAAAGAAAACAAAAGGCATTTCTTGGCGTGGTAAAGCTACTACTTGCCACCATCTCTTGGCCGATGAAACAATTTTGCGTAAATTGTAAAATTTAAAATTGTTTGCTTGTTAAAGCTTTATAATACTGCTAAGTTTAGCAAATAGCAATATTTTTTTTGAAAGTGAGCACTTGTCTGAAAGTACATTTTGGTGCATCTTTTGTTTGTGTTTATGTATAGTTTAAAATAAATTAATTTTTAATATTCCTGATATTAAAAGGGATTCTATATAAATTATAATTTTTATATTTTAAAATAAAATATAAATAAAAAACTTCACTATTACTTCTACAAAACTTTCAAATAATGTATCATCATCTTTCATTACCAGTTGTCCAAAAAATCAAAACCGGTCTTAGGAATTGTCTGCAAGAAAAATAATTTAGTGCTGTTTACTTAAATTATTTAAAAAAAAAAAAAAAAAACATAAACTCACATTTTTATCTCCTGTTGGAGATGGATCCTTTGTGGAATCTTTTTGTTCCTTTGTTTCTTTTCCTTCTTGCTTGCTTGGTTTGATCAAGGTGTAGTCGACTGGCGGCGGCGGAGGTGCATTTTTGGGTCGCATTGTGGAAACGGAGGTGGGCGTGCGAGGACCCGAAGGATCGGGAGTGGGCAGACGAGATTTTGTAGCGAGCTTGTCCGGCGGAACGGGAGGATTATTTTTCTTTTGAAATCCACAGAGACGCAGGTCAAGTTGGCTCTGAAATATTAAAGGAATTTAAATTATGATGAGAACTACAGCAGTTGTCTAATTCATTAAAGTAGAAGTGTATTCAAAACGATCAGTTGGTCACTTCTTGATTATTCTACATTAAATTTTTCCTCTGAATTACTTTAACATAGCAAAACTCAGCTTAGTTTTTCTCTGTTTCCTTGAAAATGTATATTAGTTGAAAAGACAAGAAGAAAGTAGAAAAACATTATTCCTGCTTTGTGGACTTTCAGAAGGCATTTGACAGCATAGACCAAAAAGTCACCTTGGCAGTGCTGAAATCTTATGAAGTGAATCATAAACTAATAAACCTGTTAAGCTATATTAATGATGATGCAGAAACAGCAGTGAGATTGTGTGCATAACTAGGAAACTGGTTCAAACCAAAAAGAGGCATCAGAAAGGGAGATCCTATATTCCCAACTATCCTCATAAATCTCTTAGTTATGGATAAGATGACACAAGAGATGCAGGGAACATCAGTTCACGGTGTAAAATTCAATAACTTGAGATTTGCAGATGACAGCTGTACTTCACTTTCTTCAATGATAACTAAAGAAAACATTACATCTGCTTAATGAAGAAGGAAAACGATATGGATTGACTATGATGATGATAACAAGAAACATCCTAGTGGATGGGAAAGAAATTGAAAATGTAGCAAGCTTTACATAATTAAGAAGCAAACTAATCTATAATCTGGATTACAAAAAAGAAATAGTGATTAGAATAGCCAAGGCAAAAACAAATTTGAAAGCAATGGACAAAATCTGGAAAAGTATTGAACACCTGCATCTTCTCCTGCATGCTGTATTGCTGTGAGACATGGGTAATAATAAAAGATATGGAATGAAAGATCTTACAAATAGGATGGATGCAGAAAGTCACAAATGAAGAACTTTATAATAGGATATACTGTATATGGAAAGAATCTCTTATAAAAAATTATACAATGTAAATTTCAACTGTTCAGACACATCACAAGAATGAATGCAAACAAAAAATAAAGACTCTAGTCTATAGTATTATGGATGGATCTAACAAAAGAGAGAGACCATATAAAGAATGGATTGATGTGAAGAAGAAGTGTGGAGCGAATATACAGAAATTGAGAAACTTGGCAATGAATAGAGAGAAATGGAAGAAAATAATGAAAGAGGCATCAGACACCAATCGGTGATGAGCCCAGGGTTAGTTAATGATGATGAAAGAACATTGTCTTTTGTTTTATAAAAGGCAATGCTCAAGGTTTTGGAGGAGGAACATGATTTTGATAAAAAGTTAGCCAATCATACATTTTACTGTAAACAGACTTTTTGTCTGTGTGTCTTATAATGCTTATTATGAAACTAAAGTAATGTTATATACTTACTTTACAGGCAAGAAATTTTTTAATGAATACAACTGAAGATTTACTAAAACTGGTACTACTCAATAAGTAAATTCAAACCAACCATGCATACATTTTATGGTTCCATTTAGGGAGGGACCAGTGACAGGCTTCTTTTTTCCGGAACCACAAGTCCAGCTTACAAACTTTTTTTGAACCCATTCTTTTATATGTCACCAGTTCACCAACATTTAATTCTAAATAATTTTTTAAACTCCAATGTTCAAAATTATTTTGTGGAAAACATACTACAGTAGACCCCCCTATAACATGGTAGATACGTTCCGTGTTTCATGAAATTCATGTTCTAGGAGTCCTTAAATACATGAGCCAATCACAGCCTGGCACGTATGCAGTTTATGGACTACAGCTGTTTGAAAGGTTTTCTTCCATAAAATTAATTGATTCTAGACTAATTTGACTCACCATTTCCAAAACGTATATAATTTTTTGGGAATAATCCATATAAACTATGCTATAAACAAAAAATTTGTAGGGTTACTTACCAAGTGTGCACCGTTCGACGACGCCATTGCTTAAGCTTGTTTTCGTCATGGAGTGGCGCATCGAATGGCAGGCACGTGTTTTCTGATAAATTATTTTTCTGTGAAAAATTTGCTGAACTTTGGAGACATCATTAAATATAAATATAATTTTTATGGGCGTTAAATAATAAATGGTTTTAGTAGGTCTGCTGCTTGTTTAAACTCAACAGTTTGTGCAATATCTATTGGTCTAGATTCGACCAATCCTGTTGCAACACGAGTCAGTGATGACGTTTTACCGTATCATACGAGTCTCTTTTAGCGTGTTTATATGAATATGATCGCAATTTTTTCGTTGTGATATACGAATCCATATTATATGAACCTGTTTTATGGGGGGTCTACTGTATATGTCGTTATTTAACATACTTTCAAAATGGATGTGTAATTGTCACCAAACAAGTTATCTATGAATGATTTCCAAGTGGCAAACATCATTTCTGCATACTTTAAAATATTCACAAAAGAATTCTTCTTTGGACAAAAAACACTACATATCGAGGCAGGGAATAGTAGCCTCTAAAGAAAGGTTCATCTCTACCAGTGAAATTGTTAATCCTAAAGGCGTACAAAGGGACAACAGATGAAGGACATTTTTATATTTTTAAAATTTCGCTGGATGTAAAAATTTTTCAATAAATAAAAAGACAGTCAATTCCAAAAAATTTTTGTTAAAACTTTGGTCGATCACCTTTTATTTCCATTAAAATTTCAGGATAAACTTCAGCGACCGGACCTTCCTTTTTAGGCTACACGGTCGCCTATAAAACAGTCCTTTAAAATACAGAAATAATCCAATTTAAGCATTAAAACTTGTAAAAAAAAACTTTTTGGAATTGACTGTCTTTTTATTTATTGGACATTTTTATAGTTTGAAACATACTTTAAAAAATTTACAAAAGAATTCTTATGTCCTGGCTAATATATTTTTATCATTTCTGCACTTTGTTATTTATATACACAGGAACTCATATCTGGGGAAATGTATATCACACACACACCATCCTGGGCCAGAGTCATCATTGGCAATGTTGTACTTAATGGGGACTTGGACACCCAATATATTCCACTAACCTTTAATGGTTCCTGTGTATATGAGATTATTTTAAAATCTACTATCATACAATGGTATGGAGTAGACTCCTGGTGTTTTGTTTAAATTGTAAGTATCCTTTGCATTTGAGTCAAAGAATGTCGGACTATGTTTAAATGCAATCAAGATAGGATATAATTTGCTACTTATTTGTATGTAACACTTAAGTTGAGATGGAAGTCCACCTCAATCTGCCTCTTATTTATTGTAGTAATTGCTTCTTATGATGCGGAAGGCATAAAAATAAGAGTTTACAAAGTTTTATGAAATATAGAAATTTGCACCTCCGTCATTTTTCATGACTATTCTTACATCTGGAAAGAGGGCTTCTCTATCATTCTGTTCTAATTCTAAAGTCAGCCCATGTGAATTGTTGTTGAATATTTTTAGAATGTTGCTGATGTCAGGTCCTGCTTTCTATATGATCAGAATATCGTATACATAGTGTGTGGATATCAAGTAGGAGTTCCTGTAGTATTTTAGCAAAGAGCTACATCACAACTTAGAACCCTAGAAACATGGGAAAACAAAAACTCACATCTGGGAAAACGTATAAATAGCAAAGATGTGGAAATGATGTCTTCCACCTGAAAATCACTCTTATATAACCCAGTGTGTGGTGATATATAATATTGACAAATGCTCAAAATAGCTGTGTAATTATGTTTTGTATGAAATAATTTAAAACACCGCATTCTAACATTAGTGAACTGGTGACATATTAAAGAACAGATTTGAAAAAAATTCGCTTAGAAAGAGTTTCCTAAAGGCACCCAATGGTGGCACCTAAATGACTAAAAACGTTTGCATTTTTGTGTTTTACAATGATTTCTGTGCTGGAAGTTCAGTAACATTCTGTTAACCTGGTGCCAGATTATCAAATATACTAACTAATCGGACAATGAAATTTTTCCAGTTTGTAATGTTAAATTAAAAATATGTAAAATTGTATACAAGGAATCGAAAAATTCCTTGTATACAATTTTACATATTTTTCCAAGTAAAACTTACAAACCTGCCTTTTATGATTGGAAAAATTGAAATGGTGTATTAGAAAGACTATTCCTACTCTTGGTTGGTTTGAAACAAGAACACTTAAAAGTGTACAAAGCACACAGTAAGATTAATCTATATCTATTCTATATATTATATACAGTATATTAAAAGCAAAATGTTTTGTCACTGCCAACTGAAATGGAAACAGAAACTATCCCTTTACAAAGAAGTGCTATAAATAGACTGGACTCTTCCTGGATGAAATATAACCAAATAGATCAAGACGGATAAATACTTTATCCACACACAGAAATATTAAGTTTCAATTGATTTGATTTTATAAAAACCAAAACTATAAGTAAAAATAAAGGCCAGAGTTTTAATAATTAAGTTTAAAATTATTATTTTATTACTTTTAGTTTTAATTAACTGACTATCTAGTTGCATATAAATACAGACTAATACCCAGTGCATCCATAACTCCCCCCAAAGACAAACCGGACATGCTGGCTTATCAGTTTGCCAGCATACCAGATGCAGTGTTAACATAATTTCACTGTAGATGAATTCAAACTGATCTTGCTATAAAAAGTAATATTGTAATGTTCCTTTTCCTTTATGTAAATTACATTCAATGTCATGAAGACTGACCAAAAAAAAAATTAAAAATGCCTTGATATGTTTAGAACAAACTACATTGTTATAACGAAGAATTGGTTGCTATATATATAGATCTAATTCTTTTTCTCTGCCAGACTCTTAGTTAAATAGATAAATGTATATTGATACCTATATAAATAATGAATTGCAGATAAGTATATAGCATTTCACACAATCATCACATGCTGGATAACATTTTAATCCATACCTGATAATTGAAAACAAGAAAAATTAACAAACATTGCCAATCTGGCAGTAATGTTTGTGAAACAATTAATGTATTAAGATATTTTATGGCAAACAGTAGATAAGCTGCAATATCTTCGGCACTCTTTAACAATAAATAGTGGCCCCAAAAAGGGCCTTTCATACCTTCCGAATCCATTTCTATGGTGTCCCACAAATATATTAAATATAATATTTTTGTTTATCATATAAATTAATTTTGTCAATTTAAATCATTAAAAGTTGTTTGCTGTCTACTGCTTTGGTACTTTGAGAGAAAACTGGGTGAATATTTTTTAACATTCTGGCAAACTGATTTTGAATAACACTGACAAATGACAGGAATGTGTCACAAGTAGTTACAACTGGTTTTCACTAAAAGTCAAAAATTCAGAAATTATTTATTCATTGTTCAAACTTAGTGCTGAAACTGTTTAAGAAACCAAATAAGTTGTTAACAGATCTTGTGGATATATACAAGATAATTCTGCAGACAAGTAGCTGATGCAATTTCTTTTATCACTTCTGGATCCAAATCAAAAGTGAATCGCCATTAACCCAAAAGTGAATTCTGTGCATCGTCTTACTCAAGATATAAATGCTTATTACTCTAATTATTTATAGAATAACTGATAAGGATTTTTAAAATATATTTAATACCTATATTTGAAAATTCTTTAGCTTTCAGATAACACTATTTGAGAATGATTTTGTTAAATTTTTTTAACAGTGGGAAAGCACCATCAGCCACTTTAAAAGATTGTTGAATCTACACCAATTCCAAACTCCTCTGTCACTGATATGAAATTAATGCCAATGCCAATATACTGAAAAAGCATCAATTACATCCCTGGGTGCAATGGATTCACTACCTTGGTGGTTTCTCACCATCAGAATTAAGTGTTCTGGCTTTCAAAGAACAATGTGCTTTCCATGTATTGTCCCAAGACAACTTAGAAAATTACATTTTATCCAAGATTCATTATTTATTTCCACCAATCTGCCTCATATTTAAAAAATTTAAAAGAAAGAGGATTCAATTTGTGTATAATCATACAGACTTCTTTCATAATATTGGTTTTTTATCAACAAAAAATAAAGAAATACAGCCATATAGTATACTTTAGTAAAAAAAACATTTATTTCTAATTATTATATCAACCATATAAGTTATAAATTGCAACTGTTTACCATTTTTTATGGGACATCCTGTATTTGTAACACATCCATTTACTGTTATGGATTTTGTATGCTCCTTGTTAATGAAACTCATCAAAATTTTGAACCGGTCTATTTACCAAAGTCCTATTAAGAACTTCACTCTTTGGGTAGTTACGACAAAAAATCATTTTGCACTGCTGTTTTTTGATCTTCAGTGGGCTGTATCCAGAATACACAATTGCAATTTGCAAATGAAAGTTTAATGCAGACTATGAACACATTGAATACATTGCTGAACATGCAACCATTACACAAGAACAAAAAAAACATCATTACAGGGATACTTTTGAATCAACAAGTTTTAAAATTCTCCATTACAGACAGACAGCGCTCAAAATGCCAACAACTGCAATGAAAGATTGCATGCAGAAATAAGCCTGGATGATACAATGCATTTGTAAAAGGAATGTTTTCTTATTTCTTCCTTGTGCAGCACTAAGAATGCCAGTTGCATTGTAATGGCTATTGGAAAGTCTTGTGAGAGCCCAGACTTGATGAAATTTTTTAGGGAAAAAGTTTTCATCTTTCGAAAGTTAAACTGGTTCAAATCCCAGAGAAAAAATTTTCAATTTAATTAATGGAGGATGATTACATCTTTCACCCCAGAGTCACTTCCTTTCCCTGTTGATGTGTCACTGGGAACTAACTACAAATATTCACTATTGGTCGAAAATAGTAATATAGCTTAAAGAGGGCGTCAAAATCAAGGGTAGAATCAAGGATGAGAGTTTGCTGATCCATCTCCTTTTCATGTGAATGTAATTTAACTGTGCTCCATCACTGATCCGTTTGACCACCGTTCCTGTCCATTGTTGCCATTCTCCACACATTTGAACTTCTTGATCCAAGAACACTGATAAGCTGACATAATGAACCTGAAAACCTCAGCAATCTACTATCTCAACACATTAATCGAGTTATCAAGGTACTTAGCATCGCACATAATAATGTAAGCTCTCTCTCAGCTAGAAACCTGTTAACCCAGTACCTACTAGTGTAAAACCTAATCAGATAAGGCTGATTTAGCATAACATAATTGAGATGTTATGCTATATAAGCCTTATCCGTTATATGATGCTATATAAAAACTATAACGGAACTCTGTTATCCTATATATATATGTGTTTGTGTGTAAATAGCTTACATAAATAAATGGGTATTATTTCTTTATAATTGAGTTGTAGTGTGCACTTCAAGTTATCTCTCAGGCCATCTCCATCCTGAGCCAAGCGCCTACAAATGCAACCGTTTGAGCAAAACCGAAATAGCAGCCATCAAGGTTTCTGTGTTTGCCTTAAAAGACACAGTGGTGTCAGTCCTGACATAAGTATTGCGGATCCATTGACAACCCTTCAGTCACAGTCTATTGATTTATAAGGACCACATGTCAGAACAAATCAATTCTGAAAAGGAGTACAGTGTTTCTGTTAGTAATTTATTTCCCGGAATACTAACGGCTTTATACAGGCTGACTGTATAATATAAATAATATCAGAATTTATATTTACCTGTGTTTCCCAACTGAAAGGAGCTGAGTGTTCATCTCTCCAAGAGCATCCCTGAAATTATTTGATATAAAATTATTAATTGTAAGAAAACTCCAATGTAATGAGAATACAGTTCTACAATATGTAATATTTTAGAAGCACGACATTTATAAAATATTTTTTATTTAATAAAGATACAAGGCAATACTATAAATTATAGTTTTGTTGAAATCAAGAATTATTAGGAAAAATTATATCATAATTTATATTCTATATTCAAAGAGATCATACTTTAATTATGATGTGTTGGATAAATAAAAATTTATCAAACACAAGTAAATTATTGGAAATTGTGTCAAATTTGACCTTCAGGTTTTTTGCAAATATCCACATTTTGAAACCCTGAACCCAAAACATTAAAAAACAAAAATGGGGAAAAAATTGTGTGTGTTAGCATCTATTTCATTTAATATCTCAGGATGTGGAGAAGATTAAGAAATGAAATTTGGCACAATAGCTTGTATATAAGAGGCATTGATACTATTAAATTTTGGTGGTTAAAGATCAAGGGAAAGATAGAGGGGGGATCACACTTCATATCTTGAGTGGGACTGGACTTGAAGATTTTACTTTTATTAGCATTTACAATTTTTTTTTTATAACACTCATCACTACCCTCAAAATTAAGCTCATTTCTCAACTGGAACATTCAAAAATTCTTGACTGGAAATTCAAATTCGTATAGAGAATTCCATAATTCCATAGCGCCTGAAGAAGAACCACATTAGGTTCGAAAGTGTTTGCAAAGTCCTCTGCTTTGGAGAAGAAGAACACTGATTACAGGCAGTGAAGTTGAGTAATTAAGCTCATTTTTTAATAATTAATAATATAAGTTTTATAACAAAATATCATAACAGATGGTGCCGCACACAATTTTATTAACTTTTAGTAAGAGCTTATTTAACGCTGCCTTGATTAACACTAATTCAATATAATGTGGTCAGCTTGAAGGAAAAAAAACTCAAAATTTACACCAATTCAAATTATCACAGCATTTTATTGATTTATATATAATACAATACAGTTTAATCTAATTGTCATCCATGGGGCTGGCAATTTTTTGACGTTTTAACCAAGTGTCATTATGTACGGGGTCATAATTTCAGTCTCATAAAAATTACCCCAAGTGTTTAAGAATCTATTATAAAATCCATTCTAATTTATCATCATATGTATTACCATAAAATTGTTTCTTAATAGTAATACAGTATACTGTATCTATTATGGTAATAATAATTTATTATCGTACGTGTAAAAGTGCAGACTAAATGTTTAAATCTACTTTATTTACATTATTATGTCTAAGTTTACATCAATGTAATTAAAAATTTCAAAAATGACCTTTTATAAGAAACTTCTATTTGTCTTAATTAAGTTTCAATAATGTGGCACTCCCGGTTTTGAGAACAATATTGAATCAAAAGGCAACAAAAGGTTAAACTAATGTATGCCAATTAAAAAGACACATGTATTCACTTTAAAAAGTCAGTTATTTTAGATTGTAGGTGTTTTTCACCTAAAAATTGTTTATCAATGTCATTTTCTAAATCGTACACTTTATTCATTATTTTCAATGAAGTTTTCTGAGACCTGTAAAAGATTTTCAATAATCTTATTGCATTACACACTTCCCTGGTCGATGGCATGTTGTTTAAAGAGGTGACAAACCTCACCCCACCAAAGTCAGATGAGAGTACCATCCACAGTCATTCTAGGAAGTGGATTCTGACCCTATAAACTGAGCATGTAGTACTTGTACTGTATTTTCTTTTACAAAATTAGATTACGAATTTTATTTAACAATCTAGGAGTGCTTTAAATATGATGTTAAAACAGGGGTAAAATGTTAAAAGTGAGTTTTTTAACATAATCTAGTATAGTAAAATCATGGGATCGATAAAAATTTGATGTTATATTTGGGTTGTCATTACATCCGATGATATTACAATCGGGTTAAACTGTATTTATGAACATGAACCAATCAGCAAAAGGTGGTAATTCGTCATAGTGCTGTACTTTCCTTAAATCTAAGTTTGTTTGGTGCAATTTTAGAAAAAAATTAATCATCATGAATGCCATATGCAATATCAACTTCGCTTGGCAAGAATTAACTGATAAATGCATAAACAAAGTGTGGAAGAAGTTATGGCTGAAGGTATTCAAGGATTCTCCACGAGAAGAGCCTATTGCTGTATCGTTAGGTTGACAATTTTGTCAACGTAATCGATACAGCAGGACTAGGAGATGTAGACCAGCAGGATATTGACGAGTTACTGTAGGTTTCTGTTGAGAGCCCTACCAATGATGACCTTCAAGAACTGGTAGAACAAGGAATTCAAGTAGAACTGAAAATGGGGATTCTGAAAACAAAGAACACAAAGAATTTCTCTACAGATTTCCTTAGTAAAAGTTTGGTAATGATAACCGAAATCGGATCAAATCATAGCGAATGATCCAGATTTTGAAAGGAGTGCAAAAGCAAGACGAGGCGTTTTGGATGCAATCTCTTGCTACCAACATTTGCTTAAGGAAAGAAAAAAAAAAGCTACAAATGAAACTACAAGACTTTATCACAAAAAACAAGAATTTCAGAAGAGCCATGACCTTCATCGTGCATATGTTTATGTTATTTAACATATATTATTATACAAATTAATATAAAAATAACTTAATAAAATAAAATCTGTTTATTTTTGGTCATGTGTTTCCCTTTCCCTATTTACTCTATGTTAAAATGACCTCGTTTAATGCTGTTTCGCTTAGTGCTTTGTCATCTAGGAATGTATCCCTGCATTAAGCAGGTCTTATGGGATTTTATTTTAAAAAGTACAGTAAGAACCAGGAAAGTTATGCAGCTCATTGTTAGAGTTCTTAAATTATTAATCTTTTTCAAATTTATAAGGAATCCACATGAAAAAATGTTCAGATTTGATTAATGGTGTTTTAATTCGTAATAATCAATAATAATTATTATTAATGATTATTACTAATGGACTTATATCATTTTCATTTATAATGGTTCAAATATTAGTAACACAAAAGAATAATTTATTCATTCTGAATGTAAGAATTTAAAGTAATATACAGACAAAATTTACTTTCTTTAAAATATTATTCAGAAAAGTCAATGATTGACTATATCTTATGTTCTGCAGGTGTAGAATATTGTCAAAAAAGACTATATTAGCAAATTATTTAGTAGATCTTTTCCTCCTGCAGTTAAGATCAAAGAAAACTTATTCTGAAATTTTGGAAGAAATAAGTTTAATGACTGTAAATAAGATGAAATGTAATTCTGAAAAATTTTTTTTTATCAAATTGATGATTTTCAGGTTTTTTTTTTATTCAACAAAATTGGTCAATATGAAGATTTTACTTTCTTACTGAGGTCCTATTATGTTGAGGTATCCATTTGCCTTATGGCACTGATTATAAAAGCTTTGAATAAATAATAAAGTACTTTGTATCATTAAAGATGTTATTAATCAAATGATAACATCAGATTCATTGGGCCATAACTTGGCTAATTAAATACATAGATATAAAGTAATTTAGACTAAAGGTAGGTGATTAAGTTAATTTTAAGTTGCAATTAAGTTGCCATCTTGTATTAAATTGGACAAAAAATAGCAACTGAATTGTCTACCTTTAATCCAAATTACTTTTTTCCTATGAGGTCCAATTGAAACATAATGAGACTAAATTTATATTGTGCATTATGGCAAAACTGTAAAATTCATTTATGTTATGGTCAATTGCATAATCCTACCTCAACATTTTGTGAAAGTTTTAATCTTCTCATTGCAACATAATGCTTATTATTGAAAATTTACTGCATGTATGTTTCGAGTAATGGTTACAGAATGGAGAAAGAATCAAATAATATTCAGTGAAATTTTACATGAAATAGAAAAAGAGTAACTGAAACATATGATGCATTAAAAAAGCATATGACGATAAACTTTTGATATTATTTCTCTTTTGTTACTGATTTTGAAATTATTCTTGTATAAACTGACTGACAAATGAAATAGCTTGATTAATATCTTATCTATCACACAAAATACTTTCTCATTTTAAAAAATAATATTTCTTTTCTACTTCTTGTTCCATTGATCATTCTCAAAAACAGGAACTCATCTCCATTATTGAATGACCACTTAGCAAAATGATTATAGTCACTGGAATAAAAATTCAGTTGATTATATTTCTTATTTATTTAATAACAAGAAAATTGCAGCAACGATTGTTTTTATTGTCAAAAGATGATGAACCATATTAACAATTATTGGTTAATTTTAAGATTAACTGTATATAAATATTATTTCTTTTCTATACAGGTTGACCATCACTAATGGCATTGTTGGGACTTGTAGGGTGTTGGGTAAGTGATTTTGTCAGATTACTGATGATTAGGTTTAACCCAACAGCTAACCATCTTACCCTACCTTTAAAAATTATCCTATAAATCAGTACAAGTTGGTTAATAAAGAAAAATATACACATTAATTAATTAAATGTAAAATTTTTGTCAAATTATTGTACATTTTGTCATTATTATATATTGGGCAATGCCAATCATCCCAAACAGCAGCAACAGCTTGGTACAGTGGCCCCAAAATTCAAAATTATGCTGCCAAAACTAACACCAAATTAATGACGGAACTGGATTACTGAAATTGACTGTATTATGTCAAGTAGTTTTAATTGATAATATTACTTAAATTACAAATAACTTTTTATGATATAAAATTTACAATAGGCTATATATATTTTAAAGATTACTGTACGTAATAGATATTATGTATGATTATTTAGCATAATCATACATAATATCTATTACTGTACGTAAAAAATCAAGCACATTATCTAGTAAACTGGCTTTAAATACAACTGAATAAATAAGCAGATGACAGTCCGTTTCATTTAAAACAAACAACATTGTCAGTTTACTTGTTGAGCTGTACCAAAGCTACTTTACCAGACAATATGCCTATTGATTAAGTATATATAATCTGGAATTTTTAGGACAATGTTTTTGTGGGAAAAATTAACAGTTTACAGAATGTTGATTTTTTACAATTTTTACAGTAGTAATTGATTAAATAGTTAAAAAAAACTAAATATTACGATATTAATTTCAATATAGTAAGCCGTCAATTTAGTGTCTGATAGGGGGAAATGGTGTCCACTATTGTCATAAGGCCACTAAATCAAATTTATTAATATTAAATTTACAACACAAGGGATGTGTTAAGATGTTATTATAATGTACTGTACAGTACATTGAGTAATTTATGCTCATAAGCTCTCTGACCCAACCTTTTAACATGCTTTATTTGTGAACTAAAAAAAAGGTTTAAATTTTTCCTTTAGGTCAAATTTTTAGTCCGTTAAATCGAGACTTTACCATATTTTGTTATATTTTAATTTTATTTGAGATTATAATTAGCCACCAGAGGCACAATAGAAAATTTAATATGTTAAAAAAACAGTCTACTTTCTTTTTATTACAATCTTGCATAACCTCACTTTTTTCTTTTTATAATTACAAGTATAACAAGGTAATAAATTCCTGTTTGTAATGATGATAACTATAATGTGATATTAAAAAAAAAAAAGACCTTCCCTATTTTAATAATCAAAATCAACTCAAAATCAATATTGATTTTACACATTAATATATTTTTTTAACCTATAACTTTTAGCATCATTTCATTCTTCACATTCTTTCAATATAATCAGAATCTACATCAATAGATCATTACCAAACTGAGGTTACATAATTAAGAACAAGTTTTTCCAGCGTGGTGACTTCAATTCCGACAATGATCGATCTGTCGGAGGTTAGGATAACCTAGGTTAAGGTTTACCATAAGCATAAATCTACAACACCGAAATTATTTGCATTTTAAATTACGTTTATTTAAAAGCAGGGTCTTTGAAGGATAGAATGGGCCATTTTTTGTCATTTTTTTTGGACAAACGAGATACATAGAATGTTTCTTTATTACAGATTTTATTCTTTAGTAAAAACCTCATGTAACTCAGGAAAGTATCTTCGAACGTCTTGTGACAAACAATCCATAGCATTTAGGAGAAAGTAACTCAGGGAAATACCTTGGGGTCATCATCTTAACCACCCAAGAACGATTGGGACCCATGGGTAATCAAGAAAGCAATGCCATAGCACTTCCAGAGTTAAGTTAGTAAAAACAGAGTTAATTCATAGGGAACAGAAAATACTATGGAAGTTTTTTCCAGCTCCACCAATGGCAGCTGGGAAAAAAGCCCTGGCTCCACTGACAGGGGAGTCAGGGCTTTTTCCCCAACTTTCCTATCCATAGAAAAAATGGGAGGAGCTGGAGTAAAATCCCCAACTCCTCCTATTTAAAGTATGCTAATTGTAAATACAATAAAAAGAAAGCAAATAATTTATCCTTGAGTAGTTATTTAACATCAAACTAAACAAAAAATAATAATAATAAATAAATAAAAATTATAATTTAAAATGAATTTGTTTAGTAAATAAGACATTAAGACAACTTACGAACGGTCTTCCCGATCGGGAATTAGCACTTTCATCATCGACGACGATCTTCTCCCCGGGACGAATGCGAAGAACGGGGAAATAATCGACCTCCGGAACATGTTTCGGGTGTCGATTGTACTTCTCCTCTATTTCATTCTGCACCAAACTCCTCCACAACGCTTCCGATTGTTCGTTGTAAGACATTTGATCCCAAATCTCTCCCTTCTGCTGTTTTATTGATTCTACGTCTGCCATCAAACGATTGGCGGTCGAGTTGATCGAAGTGAAATACTCCTCGACTTTTTCCCGTATCGAAGACGTTTCCATCTTTAAAGCGATTCCGATTAACGATTTTCAACGAAATAAATGAGTAAGGTTTGTTCCTTTTCTTTTGTGCGAGTCTCGTCTACTTGTTACTATAGTTACCGAAATACACTACCGCCATCTTGCATCGAGTTCGGCGCACTCTGGTGGGTAAATATATATATATACAGGGAGAGGAAATGGTTGAGTAATTCTGGGTTAACGTTATGAATGTGGAGTTTCTTAGAATTCGTTTGAATTAAATTTAAAAAAGCTATTATTATTACTTATTGACCTGAAGAATGGATAAAGAAAACTCTCTACGATATGAATAGTGAAAAGAACTATTTATAATACACTTTTTCTTTGTTAGGGCATTGAATCGTTTTTTTGTTTTTTTGATTCTCCATCCTGTGGGCAGTAAAAGAGCCCTCTAAAATCATATCCATGATGAATTCGGTCGGGCCCACAATCGGGGCGAAGGAAAAGGCCCGACAAATCTCCCATGAAAAAAATTTCCCATGGTTGTTGACAGCGGCCGGATGGCCGAGCGGTCAAGGTGGCAGCCCACCGCTCTGGGGGACCCGGGCTCGAATCCGAACGGGTCGAAAAAATCCCCAAGAATTTTTCGGGGGGTGGTCCGTTCGGATATGTCGGGCCCCGTCCCTCACACCCGGCAGCCCGATTGTGGGCCTGGCCGAACCCATAATAGGCCTGCAAAAAGAGGCCCTCTTAGTGCCCACAGGGCGGAAAGAGTAAAAAAAAAAAGAAAGAAAAAAAAAAGAGAGCCAAGGTCCCCCAAAAGCGGTGGGCCAACACCTTAACGCTTCGGCCATCCGGATCACTTACATCAGCGGTTCCCAAAGTGTGCGCCACTGCTTCCTCACAGGGGCGCCACTAAATAATACAAATTTTCATAATTTTACTTCCACTTTCAATTCAATGTGATAAGATGCGACATCTAGCAGACCTAGTGCAAATCATTAACTTTTTTTAAATACTCTTTCCGCCCTGTGGGCACTAAGAGGGTCTCTTATAGCAGGCCCATTATGGTTTCGGCCAGGCCCACACAATGGAGCGACCGGGTGGTGAGGGACAAAGTCCGACATATCCGAACGGACCACCACCCGAAAAATTCATGGGGATTCCTTGACCCGTCCTGATTCGATAATAAAGGTTGCACATAGAATCGCAAAATGTAAAAAGCCTCATACAATAGCAGAAAATATCATTCTACCGGCTGCTGTAGATATGGTGAACATTATGATCGGTGAGTCGGCTGGGAAGCAGCTTTCAAAAGTGCCTTTGTCCAACACCATCAGTCGCAGAATAACGAAGGACTTCCACATAACGAAGGACTTCCAATGTTCAGTTAATTGAAAAAATAAAAGGGAAGGAATTTGGGTTGCAGCTGGATGAGGACACAGATAATAATAACGATGCTCACTTGATTGCTTGATTTGCTATGTAGATAGTAATAACATTGTAAAAGACTCTCTTTTGTAAAAGTATCACTGCTGGTGCTAAGGCTCACGACTTGTACACTTGTATGAAAATCTTGATATTTTTATATTCTCAAATAATTTGGAATGGACCAAATGCATTGGTATCTGTACTAATGGTGCTCGTTCTATGTCCTGGTGTTATGGAGGATTGCAAGCACTTTTTCGAAGCAAAAACCCTGATGCACTTTGGATCCATTGCGTTATTCACAGGAAAGTACTAGCATCAAAATATTTGAGTCCTGCATTGAACCAGGCCTTAGAACATGTAGTAAATGTAGTAAACTTTATAAAAACTCAGCCGTTAAAGGCAAGATTTTTCAAAAAACTATGTGAGGATACAGCACTTCGAGAAAGTACAAAGCACGAGAGAGCTCGAGACAAAACATTATCACGAGAGATGGCTCTCTCGTGGACGTTTGAACTGCGACAGGAAATTTATATTTTTCTCAAAAAAGAAAACCACAAGTATGCCGAAAATTTTGTGAATGTAGATTTTTTGTAAATTAGCATACTTACGTGATATTTTTGAATGCTGAAAAACTGAATGCTCTGTGCTCTGAATCTCTGCCTACAGGGAAACAACACACAACTTTTAAAGTGGATTGAGAAAATGTCAGATTTTATTTAAAAAAATTAAAACTATGGAAAAGTAAAATAAATGAAGACTGGGGAAAAGAATGATTCCCCTTGTTGTAACAGTTTTTGACCTCCAGTGGTGTTGATTTCTCTCGAGATATGAAATCTAGTTTTGAAGAACATTTGTCACATCTTATCTGGTTTCTGAAATATTTTCAAAATGATATCATCGGTAAATTTGCATAGATTCAAGTTGCCAGTGCTCCATCTGAATTTACTGATGCAGAAGAAGAGAATCTTATTGAGTTGTCTTGCGACAATACGTTGAAAACAAAATTTAGCAGCATGGAATTAACTGAATTTTGGATATCAGTAAAAGATGAATATCCCTTCTGAGTGATAAAAGCTCAGAGAATCAATTCCATTTGCAACTTCTTATTTGTGCGAAGCTGAGTTTGTCGCTGTGCTAAAAACTAAGCATTGCACGAAAATCAATGTGGAGAAGGAAACGAGGATGGTTGTGTCCAGTTTGATCCAAAGATTTGAGAAAATGTGAAATAATCAACAAACTCATCCATCCCACTAATTATAATTAATTGAATTTGTTCAATCACCTTTTTTTTATCATCTTATTAAATACGCGTTTTATTTATTTTTTTTACTTAACGTCCCAATTCTTTAATTTAAAAAAATATTGGCTATTTCGTTAGTTTGCAAATTGTACTTGTTAGATTTTGACATGGGCGCCTTGGGAAAATCTGGATTTAGCAAGGGCGCCGAAAATCAAAAAACTTTGGGAACCACTGGCTTATATAGTTCCACATTTTTAATTTTTCGGTAATATTTGAAATTATAAAATAAATTCCTTTAGTTTTAAAAAGTGAAAATTTTTAAATTTTTATTCGAATGCTGTAAATTTTCGTCACTGCGCTCGAGAGACAGTTTAAAATTTTATTTCAAATAATAGAACACGGACCGATTCTTGTTTGCGTAAAGAATAGAAAGCAAAAAGAAAAAAAATGTCCGAACAAGACGGAAATCACTGCGAGCCCATAAAGGAATTACGTTCCATGTTCGATGCGGATGGGGATGGAAAATTATCCTTGAATTCTTTAGAAAAGATGATGAAAGCAGCCGGGATCGAACTGGAAGAAGACGAGTTGAAGAACATTTTAGAAGAAATAGATCCTGATGGGAGAGGTAAAATAGACTTCTCCAAATTGCTGTCCGTCATGGCCAAAGAAATGAAGAAGCGCGATTCGGACGAAGAAATAATAGAAGCCTTCAAGTTTTTTGATAAGGAAGGAACGGGCTTAGTGAATGCAGCGGAATTGCGCCGTATAATGACCACTATGGGCCAGAAGTTGAGCGAACAAGAAGTGGACGATATGATAAAGCAAGCGAATGTGGATGAAAATGGGAACATCGATTATTGCAAATTCATACAGAAGATGCAAGCCAAATGGAAGAATTGTCTACCATCGCAATAATTTGTTACTTTTGCTTTCTAATAAAAATTCTGTTTGGCAATTTGGGAAAGCAAAATTCAAAATTTTTAAAATAAAATTTATTCAATAACTTCATTACATTTGTTGTGGTGTGATTTTTATTTAAGGTTTTCTCAATTTAATGAACACCTAATTTAGTGAATCTCGAATTTAAAGGAATTATTTTAAGAGGGACTTTTTAAATCGTGTGTTGGAATAGGATTAATGGAATACAGAGCAATGCAACGCTTGGGCAATCTGCTGAGGAGTATGCCTCCCAGAAGGACTTTCTATGCGAAACTGTTCCTTATTTAGGTGTTACACAAGCGAAGAAACTCGGAAAATTCCACATAGCCAGACTTAACAACTCTCAATGTTCAGTGATTGTATCCACTTGGCCGTTGGTGAGATCATGGGTAAACCACGAGGACGGCTAAATGGTAAGGGATAGGCCCTGACACTTACCATACGAGTAAATTCCTGAAGATACCAACCTAGATTTGAACTAGATCCTCGGATTGTTTGTATACGGTAACAACACGTGGGCGATCTGCCAAAGGGGTCCCTCACAGGAGGATTTTCTATGTGAAACTGGCCCGTTTAGGTGTTACAAACACGAAGAAAACCTGGTAATCTCCAAACAGTTAGCCTATTGACCAGGTGCAAACCCACAACCAGTGTTCAGTGGTTTTATCCACTTGGCCACTAGTGGATCCAGATCCCTAGAACAGTGGCAATGTGATACACATTCAAGATCCAGCAAATCAGCTCAATTCTAAGAAATACTTTAAAAAACAAACAAGTAGTTGTAAGACAAACTCCCAAGTTTGTTGAAAGCTCAGAATCACGAATTTTCAACGATTGATTCATTCCTGAAATTTCATTTAAATTATATCATATCACACCAAAATGGCAAACAGAAATATTACATTTTGCAGAGTCTATGCCAATTATACATAATTTGTCTACAAGGACTTATACTGGTGACTTTGTTCTGCAATTCAAGAAAACATATCAGAAAAAACAGTCTTTATTTTTCACAGGCCTTGTAGACAAATTATGTACTAAACATAAGACAGGGATACAAAGGCATATAATTTGATATGCCAGTTACAATTAGAAAAAGAATTATTTTTAATAAATCACTTATATTTCCTTTTGCTGTAGCATGTAAAAACTTATGTGAATAATTTCTATCCATAATTTTGTTAAATTTAACAATATTAGTTTCAAATTATGAACAGCATTTTTGGGAAGTAACTTTTTATACGTGATTTATTAAATTTAATGTAATAATATAGACTAGAAAGTATATAACAAAATCAAATTTCATTTAAATCATAGTATTTTTTAATAATATTAAAATTTGACAAATACAATGTTACAGGAAGAGTTTTTATTTTTTACACTTGTAAGCAAGCTGTAAGTGGAAATAGTTTGATACTACGTAAAATACAAATTTTGGATCTTATTGGACATGACAATTGGCAATTCATTCAGTTCAGCAATAGGACAATCTGTTATTGTTCTTGTGCAAGAGGAGACTTTTAAGCCAATGAACTTTGACGTAAAAGGTCCATTGTACAGTACACTCCATGAGAAATAAGAGAGATCAAATTTCTGAAGTAATTTAAAGACAGACAGACAGACAGAAGACCTCAACAGAAAGCTGACAGAGCTCAAGAGAGAACTGAAATGAACTAGTCTATCTGAGCAAAGATCTGCACACTTGAAAGTAGAGATGAGGAGGAATCGCATCAGATTCACAAAAGAGGTAAAAGACTGAGGAGGAAAGTTTTCATTGGCACAAAGTTTATGAATCTAAAAGTGAATTTAAGAGTGGATTCCAATTTCTTCCTCCTCTTCTTCTCATCTGATATGTCAAAGGTTGGAGTTGAAACTGGAAGATTGGAGTCAAAAGGACACCTTTTGACTCCAATCTTCCAGTTTCAGTCTTATTTGCAGCTACTTACTAAAATATATATTCAGAAAACAGATATACTGTATGTCTGGTAGAGTGACTGTGGTGAACCAGCATGACTTTTCATTCCAGCAAGAGCCTACGTTTTCCTCCTAATTTCCTCTTTTGAAGGATTCGGTAGATCCGAAGGCTGGCCAATCTGAGCTGAGCCAGTAGTTCTCCTTTGAGCCACCTGAATAATTTCACTAATTAGCATAATGAACTCTGACCACTTTGGTAGAACTTATGGAAGACTAAACTAAAAAAAATTCTATACAATTTAGAAATTCTGAGGTAAATTTTATGAATTTGGATCATCTATTCAAAATGGCAGTTAGTGAAATGTATTGATATTGAATGGAAATTTATGAAATAAAGGTAAGACAACAGACCATTTAATTTCATTGTATTTTATTTACATTCAACCAAATAACAGGCAATTAAGACATCTTGACGTATGCCAATATTCTTCGCATATCCAACATTTAACTTAGCAGCAAACAACTTTTCAACATTATTTCAAATCAACTTCAAGCAGATACCTGCATTAACATTTGCACTTCTAATTGTTTAATTAACAACTATCGCCCATAATTTTCTATTGTCGAAAAGGGTGAACAAAAGAATGCAAAAACAATAAATTTACAATAAAAACATACTTTTTAACGTTACATCTACTTTTTTCTAAATTTTGCTTTTGTTTTAACAATAAAAATTCCAATTTCTGTTGTACCTTTCTTCATATAACATTAGTTTTTTCCCCTTATGAAAAAATCTCTACCATTCAAAAAAAAACAAAAAATGAACACAAAATTTAAAATATATTCTCTGTAAATATTCATTTTAAAATTTAAAAAACAATTTGATTTTCTTTAAAAATTACACTACTTGTATCTATCAACATCCATACATTTTGCTTCCAAGTTTAAAGTAAACATTTGATATGTAAACTCTAGCTGTGAAAATATATATAATATATATATATATATATATTTTTTTTTTTAACACTTCTAAGTTATATTTAATTTATGTCAGTTCTTTTAATAGAAATAATTCCAAACAAATTAAATGGTTATTTCAGTGTTGACCTGAAGCATGAATTGCGGTAGATTTAAGGACATGCAATGAGTTTTGTGCGTTACTGTTTTACTTAGAAGTAATTTAATGTTTCCGTATATAAACTGATTTATCCACAAAGCAAATTATAATGATAATACTTTGTTGTTATGGATTAATTATTACAATAATATATGATATAATATATATATAATTATATATAATAGATGAAGCAATCAAAAACACCGAAGCTGGAGTATCTTCAGAGTTTAGTTTAAGGTAATCTCCGATTAATTAGCTTCCGGAGATCTGTTTTTAAGTAAGTCAATATAAGTTAAACAGAGGCTTAGTGTTATAAACTGAAGTTCCGTTTGTGAAAATGCAGTTTAAATTATACGATATCACACGAAGATGGCCAATGACAAAATACATAGCATGTAAATATGCCATTTCATAAATCACAAGAGAACATTAATGCCAATTGCAAACACAAGGAATTGTAAAGCAGGAATTACTGTTTGTACACTGTTTGTAAATTGCGATGACTGTATAATATATTAAGTCAATCTAATTCAAAATTCCAGTTTAAGCTCATACTTACTGTAGAAGTTGACTTTGATTTCAACAGACTAGAACTGAAATGTGTTGTTATACTGACCTTGGAGATTTTTTATGGCTTAAAAATTAGTCTTTTAAATGAGAATTTGACTTCTTGACTATACAATTTATCACCGAATGAAAAATTTAAGTATATACAATTTATTGCCAAATTTAAGTGAAAATAGCAAAAATTTTACAGCTTCAATATTTAAAAAGTTCACAACCTTATCATTGGCAGAAATGAGCATTTTCAACTGTATTAATTAAGCAGCACGTTTCAGGTACATAGCTCAAAAAGATATATTAACAAGCAGAAACTAAAAATTATTTATATAGAATTTCAAGTGTTATTGCAGAATAAATTTATAGATATTAAACATTAGATGATGTTCAGAGTATATTATTTTGTTGGTGACAACAATAGAATACAGAGTTTATTTCATAATTTAACTTTCTGAATCATCAGCATCACCATTTTTAGTTATTATTTTCAGAGTCATGAAACTGAGAAAATTAATTACAAGACTAAACAGTATTTTAAAATAGTTACAATAGTAGTGTTTTCTAATACATGCAAAAGTCTAGATTTTTCAAGTTATTTGCAATCAAAGTTTAAATTGTATTTGTACTAAAATAATCTTTTATAGCAAAAGACTCTTAATTTATAAAAATTGGGCTTAAATTACATATTTTGTGATACAATACAAACATCATTGTTAATATACAAACATGCAAAAGTTACAAATATATTGTATTGAGCTGTCCTACCCCAGATCACGGATTCAGATTAAACTTCCAAACAAATTTTCAACAATACAGCAATGTTGAGAGCAGCAAAGCAAAAAGTTTCCTTCATTCTTATTACACTTAAACTAATTAGAATAATCAAGCCGATGGGGAGCAAGCTGGAGAAGCAAGCAGATTGTTACAGATCTTCGTTGAATAATAATGATGGCATCTAATGTTTTGTGATTCAGACACAATGCAAATGAAACAAAGAAAATGGGGACGGAACCTTAATGTGTGGGAAGAATTTCAATCTTGTTGCACTCTTGCGAAACTGTTTTGATAATTATCAGCTGTCACTTGTTTTGTCAAATATTTCATCTCAAATGATAAAGATACATAAAAGAAAAGGCTCAATCTATCAAATTCTTATAAATCTAATACTCATAAATAGAAGTCCCACTGTATTAGTTTACACTCCATTAAAGCATTTCATTTAAGTTTGTGGTAGATTATGCCTTTGCTAGACTAAAAATTCATGGTGTCAACTTAAAAAGATAACAAGATTGATGAACAATGTCACATTGGAATGCTTCTAAATAAAAAATTTTCATTTTAATAGTGCAAACATTTCTCTCATCTTTATAAAGCTACTAAGCTGCTAGCAGAAATATTGATTTTATTAAATTTTTTACCAAATCAATTTTCATCTTGCTGCTAAAACTTAATAGCAATAAATAGGCATCTCAATTTGAATTTGATCTTACAGTTGAATCAAAGCTCCAATAAGTTGTAAACATTTTTTATTGTTTGTTGAACTTTAATCACAGCTTACTTTAATATTTAGAACACTAGGAGTTGTTATATTATGTCCTACACTCTGCAAAGTGTAGGACATAATATAATTTAAAACTATGAAAAAAATTAACGATAAGTGATTTGGGTGAGGGTGAAAATATTAAAAACTAGCCAAGAATATTTCTTGCAAATTGTAAGAGAATAGATGAATTATCTGTTCTGTGGTATCTCAAATTGTACTGTGATAAATCGTAATAAAAAGAGTGCTGTTATTGTGCAAGATTGTGATATTGTTCTTAGTTTAAAATGAATATATTTTGACATTAAACTGTCGGATGAAGTGTCTACTAACAACAAACCAATCTAAAAAGTGCAAGATAGGAGAAGACGATACAAACTTATCTAAATTACATTTTAGAATAAGTCAAATTTTAACAAACTGGCTTCAAATCTAAAATTATTGCACTATTTTAACAAGTAAATCACATAAATTTAATATTTATAATTAACTTTGAGTGGTAATTATTAAGCATTATTTTTGTTTCAAAATACTTAAAAAAAGCATCAGAAATTGAAGTAATATGTATATTGATACTCCAGTGAAGATACATTTCTTGATTGCTTCTTCTATTATAAATTTCTATAAAGAGGATAACATATTTCTGAGTGGAATGCTATCCGCGGTACAACTTGTTATATTAAATCTTGGAAGGGAAGAAATGGTTACTCACGACTGGCAATTTACAGCGAGGACAAAAGACTAGGCTATGTTTGAAATATATCTTCTAAAACATAATATACAATATAAATTTATATTAAAACAATTATGAATGATAAAATATATACACATATTTATGAATTATTAACTATGCAATCCAATGTTCAAAAAATTTAACACAACAATGATAAATGACATTTTAAACTAATCAAACATTTTATATACAATAATCAATGCTAATAGTAGAATCTCAGTTATCAAAGTCAAATATACAATTTCCATGAGAATTTACAGATGAAAAATGTTTATAGATTTCACAAACCAATGAATGTATTTATAATAAATATTTCTCGTAAAATAAGACATCTCAGACTCCTTTCTTCAAAATTAACCACAGTAGAATAAAATCCTTTTACTTTCAGAAGTCCTTTAATTTGAGATCGACTCTCATCTTCAATCTTATCATAAAATCCTTTTGTTCCTTTAATCGTTAGTCGAACAAAGTTATTAAGAACAACTTGTAAAAGTAACAGTTAATTCTATGTAAAATTTTGATTAGTTTGTTTTTATGTTATAATTTTGTGGTTAATAATAGTTATTTTGAATCTTGGATAACAGAGATTCTACTGAATACTGATAACAATATAAAAATTTCTAAATTTTATACATGCATCGTAAAATAATTTTATTAATTAACATGGTCACATTTTATATAAGATGTATTTGGAGATATTTTACTTTGTTTTATGTGTCTAAATAAATATTTAAATTTCATAATTGAAAGTAAACATCAAAAATTACATAAATTAGAAACAATTAATTAAAATTTTCTATTAGGAATTTTCAATTTGATACTATGAATTGGTTATATTCATAACTTTCTATAGTAAAAATTTGTACACTTTCTTGAAATTATTTTCGACACAAACGATCACTCTTATTTTTTTCTTTTTATTAAAAATTTATAAACTAAACTACTTAAAAATTTCAAATAAATTAAGTTGTACCCTCAATCTGTTATTTTGTCGACTTATATTAAAGTAGTTTGATAAAAATGTGTATAGATTAACCTAACATAAGCATTGCTAAAAATTCTTAAATTAAAATTTTAGAAAGTGCATAAAATTATTTGAGCATTAACTTAACTCATTAAATTGGCAAATAAATAGAACATCAGTTTAAATACTGTAAATTATATAAAACTTATAAACCGTTTCTTGAGCAATAACTTTTCTGTCGTACCGTTTCGGTTTTATATTTCTCAAATTATATCAATTTAGAAATTTTTAATTTTCCTTATAAATGATGTATAGTATGTATAAGATGAATACTAACAAAACAATATCCTATTTAAATCCACATATAATACAATGATAGCAAACAAATGATTTATGCAATTAATGAATGACATAGCACACATTTTTACTTACAGATAGTTTTCAATAAAGTTGCAATTAATCCTTACCAAGACAATGAATTGGTAATGTAAGGCAACTTCACTCTTTCTGCTGCATAACGTTATCCATATTCAATGGTAGTTCTAACTGATTTTCACTGTCGAATAAACTTGAAGATAAATTTATAGACATATTTTCTCCTATAGAAGGATCTAGATTCAATAATTCTACGGGGTCTATTCCAAGATCTAAGCTATCAATTTTTTCCGTTGCTTCAAGGATGTTGCCCTCAGTGGTCAGATGGTCGAAGGTGGTCGGCACCTCTCCCAAGCATTGCGTGGCGATTGCCAAAAAATCCTGAGTACTGTTGACAATGAAAGATTCATTTTTCGATGATGATCCTCCGCTCGCTGTAGGAAGATTTATTCCGGAATCTATGCTGCTAGAAGTCGTACAAACTGGATTTGAATGATCTCTCTGCACATACATAGCACTACCGCATTCAGAAGATCCAACTTCATCTGCACCTGCTGTAAAATTAACATCCTTCATAAAAAACACATAATTACTTCATATAACAACTGAAATATATCTTACTTTATATATTAGCAAAAATTAAAAGATTAGTATTATAATTACAATTAATCTTATTTGAAAATCTGTATTCTAAGCAGCAAAACTGTTTAGTTTACATCAAATTTCATTGCAATGTTTTACTGTAAACATAAGGATGATTTAGTGATGATAAACATTTAAAAACACTTTTACAAATAAATAACATTTTTAAAAATAAAATTTATCTAAAACAAAGAATTGATTCTTTCAGAATGGTATTTATATTATACTACTTGATATAAATAACAAAATATTAAATTTTCTTTTCACTTTGAGGAATAATACTCTAACCCATAAAACTTCCTCCAAAGAATCTGAACTGATTAATGAGTTTTCTGTTAAAATTAAACATTACTTCCATATTTTTTGTATTCTACACTATGTGATCATATTCATTCACACTATTCATGTGACATTTACACATTACTCATTTGCCAACATACGAGAGCCTAGACTTGAAAAAAAAAATTTTATTCCAAAAATTTTTCAAAAGAAAAAAATTCAGAAAGGATATGATTATATCTTTTCCCACAAACTTGCTTCCTTGTCCAAGGTGAAACATCAAATTTGTCACCGGAACCTAATGAAAAAAAAATCGCCATTGGACCATAGAACTAAATATTATCAAAAAAGGGCAAGAGCAGTGGAGGGGGAGAACTCCAAGATAAAAGAATGAGTTCATCCGTCCTTGAAGGTTGGTTGTGTGTGCACTTAGATACACTTTGCCACTGATACTCTGCCAATAGCCAATGATCAGAAGCCTAACCGCTGATAGCTGATGACCCCAAGTACTATAGTGTTTCCTCCTTCAAAAAAAAAAGCCCAAATCAAGAGAGCAATCTTCAGGTAAATACCATGCTTGAGTGTTTGTAAACTCTCTCTCTCATGCTTAAAGCTTATATGTAAATTTCATATAATCAATAAACGAGTATTATTTTTCATAATAGAGTTGTAGAGTGCACTTCTTTTACCCAATCCTTCTCCATCCCAAATATGACTGCCTACAGACATGACTGCTCACGCAAAAAGTGAATGTAACAGCTATTGATGTTTCTATGTCTGTCCTCAAAGACAGACACAGAAACCTCAATAGCTGTTGGTGTCAGTCCTGACAACTTGGTCATTGCTGATGTGATGTCGACCCTTCAATCAAGTGGTCCCGAAGCATAGGGGTGCTTTGTATATTGTCACAAACACATTAAAATAAGCATATTATTAATAAAACATTTCATAACATTAATCTCTTATTAAAGACTGCTAACTGAAGATCTTTAGGCAAAAACATGTTAACTCGGTCTCTTTACTGAATTTTTTACACACATATGGAAGTAATTTCCAGACATGACCCATAATTTCTCATAGACTGACCTATCAACCTCTAATATAATTAATCATCTGTGAGTTGTCAAAATACAGGTCAGTCAGAGTTTTACGGTAATTTTCCAGAAACTTAAATAAGTTAACATGTACTGTACTTGCTCTATGGTCTTCGTTTTACACTTAATAAAAAAATGTATATACATTGTAAAACATAAATCTGTAAATTAAAATGATATTTCAGTTAATTCTGTCTTACTTAGAAATTAATTAATTGTAGTCAATATATAAATGAAAAGGTTAACAGAGAAATAAATTAAACTGACATATACTATATTAAAGTAATCTATTTTCTGAGTTTCACTTTAATAAGAGTAGCAATTAAACTTGAAATCATTAAAGTATTAAATTTTAAACAAGTTTCTTAAGAAATAAAATTTATCTAAATTTTCAACGAATTTTTCATAATGGATAATTGTTTGATATATTTTAAATGTTCAAAAAATAAATTTTTATTTTATTTAATTTTAACTTACAAGTTTTTGGTCTATTTCTGATCGCATGCTTTATCATTCTTGGGACAATTACAGGTTTTGTTTCAATTACTAAATAAAAAATAATATATTATTTTTTAAATATTCAAAATATATTATTGTTTAAAAAATAAAAAAACAAAATAATTTTAACAAAAGTTTTGATAATAAAAGTAATATAAAACAGAATTGAAAGGCTAATTCTCAAAACATAAGATGAATAAAATTAAGTAAATTTATTTAATATAACTACATAAATATATTTTGAAAAACTTGCAATTATTAAAATAAAACAAAATTACAATTATTTTTATTGGATTTATTTAAGTTTTAATATGAACTTCTCCATCTAATTAGCAATTAGGTAATAAATTTAGATTAATCAGTTGAAAAAGCTCAATAAATAAAATTTTTATTCTGATTATTATTTTAATTTACAAAATTTGAGAATAGAAATTCCATATATCACAGAGAAATTATAAATTAAATATTTTTAATTCAAATTATGAAATTATTGCATTAAGAATAAAATATTTTGTCATTAAAACTATGTTTTATAATTTTTTATTGTACTTTTCTACATTATGTAACTATATGTTCTAAAATTTTTGTAACACATTCTTCAATGCATTCCATTTATATCATATTTTTGTGGAATGACCCGGATTGCCATATAAACAAGACAGACCAGCATGCTGGAAACACCAGAGTCACAGGCATGCAGGTTAAATTGCAACTAAAATATAAAATTGATCAGATCTAACAGAACAGAAATGTTAAAGAAAACATCCTTCCCAGTTCAATGAAATAACAACATTGTAATTTGACTGATTTAAAATCAGGAAAGTGTTTTCATTTACATGAAATCAGATACAGAAGTATCTAATTTCATGGTCACCCCCCCAGATAGAGCAACATGCCAGATAATCCATGAAAATATGGTAGAATGTAAATGACCTAACAAAGATCAGAATTGATAGAAAACATCAATCAGTATATTTTTTCAATATTAAATTAAAGCTTCGTTCTGGATCTACAAAGGCTATTTAAGCTGTGCTTTTTATACTATCTGCCACTTCACTTGAGTTAATCTTTTTTCTCCTACATTTTTTTAGTTCTTATTTAAAAAGTAAAAATTTAATTACTAAAACTTTATGAGACAATAACACTAAACCAAATTTTGTTATTAACAAAAAAATTAAATTTAAAAATACCTATATAAAAAAAAGTCAGATATTCAGATTCTCATTCTTAGTTCAATAAAATATGTTTATAAATTCACACAAAGGAATACTAACGTATTCCCTAAAAACATTAATGAACATTGAAATAATTTAAAATATAACACCAAAATAAAAAACAAAAACCATCCAGCAACTTATAATATTACTATGGGTAAATTTAGATATATCTTATTTACAAATACACTTCTTGTGAGTATGAATCTGTAATATACTGTGTGATGCAAAAGATGGGGTTACACAAGTTAGGGTTCAATTTAAATACTAGGCCTGGACTTTATGGGAACAAAATATAATAATCCAAAACAACACTTATAAGTACAAATCCACAATAAATATTTATTAAATTGACCAGTATTATATAAACAACAATAATGATTAATTATAACAAGACTTAGTAAGAGTATATATTTCAAATATTCAAAAAGTCAAATAACAAAAAACAATTAATCAAAGAAATTCTTTTTTCATATACATCAAATCAAAATCAAATCTTCACCAAAAAATACTCAAACAAAGTATATGTTCCTTACGCTGATCGTTTATTAAGAATGCCAGACAATTCACTTCTATGACAATCACTGTCGGGAGCTACACCACACTCCTGGATGGATGTGTCGTCTTATCTGGCTCTAGGGGTAGCTCCGCACTGCCCTATTTACATGTGTGCATGTCACAGGAAAGGGCTTACACAATGACAAAGTTATGAGAGATCTTGGATGTGACAGAAATTTTTTTTATAGTGGTCCTAATGAAAGATAAACATTTCAAGGGCACCCCACATCATTGATTACTCTTTCTAGTTGACATTAGAAAAGACTTATTTGGTCCATCATCAGCTCTTTTTGAAGAACTTGGAACAATTACAAAATAAAATAGACAAGAGTTTAGAATGATTTGTATTTAAAATTTTATGGGGGGTAGAACAAAATTAAAAATTAACAGTTGTAATTAGAACAATTTAAAAATTAAATACTACACAAAACATAATAGCTGCATATCAGTTTAAGTAAACCTGGCTAAGATCTTTATAAGAAAGCGGAGAAATCAGATCCATCTAGCAACAAACTAAAAGTTACACATAGATCTTGAGCACGAGTTAATTTAGTATGTTACACAAAATGAAAACAACAATTGTTACAATTATTAGAACAAATTATACATTGTTCTAGTAAAATAGATGAGAAAGCAGTCTTGTTTCCTTTAATTAAAACGAGTGTACAATCAAGTTCAATAGAATAGTGAAGTAGATATTGGTACGATCCCTTTAGTAACTAAACTGTAATGCTCTTTGATCGTTTTACATAAGGGCATACATGTGCAACCAATATAATAAAATCTGTCTGTATGTTTGAGCAATTTAATCATGCACCTGGCTTATCATCATCACTGATATGGTGTTTTTCCATTCTTAAAATTTGCATCACTGTAGGTAATCTCTTAATGCCTGTATGTAAGATCTTATGATTGATGCAAGGAATTTGTTTGTAACAATACAATACTCTAAATGCTCATTGTTTCTTATTCTATTAGCTTTAGAAGGGTTAAGTCTTTCTAACTCTTCGTTCATGTATGCTGTGAATGTGAAATATAAGATGACTCACAGTTTACCAATGTGCAAAAAAGCTGTCAGTTTATGTGGCATGATGTCATATAATTTCAAATGTATGTAGGAATCAATTGATGTATCAGATATAATAGCTTTTCAATTTCACAAGAACATTGTTAATGATACACTTCATTTCAAAGAGATGTTTTTAACCTACTAAAATAATTACAGTTTAACCCGATTATAATGTCATCAGATGTAACGACAACCCTAACATAACGTCAAATTTTTATCACTCCCATGATTTTACTTTACTAGATAATGTTAAAAAAATCACTTGTAATGACATAAAACCCTGTTTTAATGTCATATTTAAAGCACTCCCAGATTTACAAAATTAGATTACAAATTTTATTTAACAAAGAAAATACAGTACGTGTACTATGTGTTCAGTTTCTAGGGTCAGAGTCCACTTCCTGGGTGGTACTCTCACTACCTGACTTCGGTGGGGCAATGTTTGTCACACCTTTAAATGATGTGACAATCGGTTAGTCTGCATAGTTACTTGTGTTATTTTATACAGATGCAGATATTGTTGAGCAAATTAAATCTTCAGACAAAAAAAATGAGGATGATAAAGGTAAATCATCATACAGAGAAAATGAAGTGCCATCAACCAGTGAAGTGCATAATGCAATAAGATTATTGAAAATGTTTTACAGGTCTCGAAAAACTTCATCAAAAATAATGAATAAAGTGTATGATTTAAAAAATGACATTGATAAACAATTTTTAGGTGAAAAACACGTACAATCTAAAATAACTGACTTTTTAAAATGAATATTGTTATCGTGTCTTTTTAATTGGGCTACATTAGTTTAACCTTTTGTTGCCTTTTGATTTGATATTACTCTCAAAACCGAGAGTGCCACCACTATTGAAGCTTAAGACAAATAGAAATTTCTTATAAAAGGTCATTTTTGAAATTTTTAACTACATTGATGTAAACTTAGACATAATAATGTAAATAAAGCAGATTTAAACATTTAGTTTGCACTTTTATACATACAATAATAAATTATTATTACCATAATAGATACAGTATACTGTATTACCATTAAGAAACAATTTTATGGTAATACATATGATGTTAAATTAGAATGGATTTTATAATAGATTCTTAAACACTTTGGGTACTTTTTATGAGACTGAAAGTAAGACCCTGCACATAATGACACTTGGTTATAATGTCAAAAAATTGCCAGTCCCATGGATGACGTTATAATCGGGTTAAACTGTATATATATATATTTAAAACAAAAGACCATGCTTCATTGTGCAATGTTTCTTCTTGTTTAGACACTATAATACCACTTTTTGCCATTTCACAAACAAAAACATCAGAGCTAAACACCAGGTCATAAATGTTTACATTTATTTTAATTAACACTTTAGGATCCACTTTACTTAACGGACACAAATATAAAATTTAAATTATTATTTAACTTATAGTAAAAAAAGTAGTAAAGCAATCCTTAAATAATTCCAGAGACCAAAATGAGCTGGCTCCTAGATATTTTTATTGTCAGCCATAAAAATCAACAATTATCTCTAGTTTCCCATTTTCAAATATACCTTTAAATAAAATAATATTTAGCCACAGTTTTTAAAATTCTTATTCTTAATTCAATAATGAAAATAAGAAACAAAATCAAGAAAATAAAGTTTTTATTTACTTTTCTAAAAGTAAATTGAAATGTTTGTAAAAACATTTTAAGGATACATTAACATTCTATACACTGTTGGTTTTCTCATTTATTTAATTTTAATGAAATATTGCAAAATATTCCTATCACAATATAACTGAGTTGTAACTTAAAATTCTAATGTTTTTACATTAGAATTTTAAGTTACAACTCAGTTATATTGTAAAAGTAATTTATAAGGAGATACAAGCGTTACAAATAATATTTGTAGAAACATATAAATTATAATTTTTATACCTTCTTCAGTATCTGTCTTTTCGTTACTACTCATATAAAATCTATGCAAACATCCACCTTCTATTTTAAGACGTTTGCGTACTAAACCTTCAGGATCTATAAAAATAAATATTTTCATTAATTATAAAAACATGAATTATTATTAAAATTTTATTTAATGCAAGTTAAATTTTATTATTAATTTGTTCTTAGTTTTAATTATCTTTAAAGCTGTTCTTCCAAACATTTCCAGCACTGAAAACAATTTCAGTGCTGGAAATGTATGCAAGATCAATTTGATGTCACAAAATATGAAAATTTTTAAATTTTGTTTTAGATTTTTGCAAAGTCACTGCTTTGATATCTAAAATTTGTCTTTTTAAGAAATTGAAACCCAGGAATTATGATAATTTACATAACTAATTTCTATTGTGTGTTGTGTTAACTTCATATTGTAACTGATCTTGAAATTTGGTGGTGGTATATCTCAGGTTTACATATTTGTAAAATATAATTTATCTTTGGTCTTAAAAATAGTACAGTTACTACATAAAGCAGTTAATAATAGTGTAATTATTCTATATTTCTAATTAGTTATTCTCGTTTTTTTATGTTCTTGCCAATTCCCAACACTTGCTATCTAGTTACTTAGTTCTGAGATAAATAGATTCATTGATACTATCCATTGAGTAGTTTATTATTTTTGATTTCTATCTATAATTATCATACCTGGTTCTAATGGTAGTAACTGGAAAGGCCTTGGTAAACTTTTTTCATTATTAGATGGCCGAACTAACTGAACGTTTACATTTACAGGATATTTTACACTTTCGTCGTGATATCTAGGTGTGCGAAAACAAATGGCTACCAATCGATAAACATCACAAGGCTGAAATTCAGCCCACCCTTCCCAAACAACTTCTTCATTTTTTTCTTCAAAAAATCTTATTTGAATATCATCTGAAATTAAAAAAGTTTTCCTTTTAGACAATTATTCTACATAAAAAAAAGCTTAATTTTCTTAAGATATTTATTTTCTACATGAGTTAAAATTTATTATTATTTTAAAAAATTTTCAAAACTTAAATTTGTTTGTCTACAAATTTAACTTTCTTGAAGTAAGTCTAGTGTTGAATAACAGAAATTTTTGGCCCTAGATATTTATGTTATGATACATTAGGCATTACAATATTAAATAGAATGCTTTGGAGACACCTAATCCACCAGGTCATCAATTGTTGGCAGACTCAATGGCACCTAACAACATTGGGCATACTTACATTGAGTAATGAAAAGTTAATTTTTTTAAACCAATTATTTGAAAAAAATAAATATATTTACATGTCAAACTTAAATCTTAGTCTTTATTTATTTATTTTCTAACACTAAACACTGATAGCTTTACATATGTAATAATAAACAAAATTATATTAAAATTTATCTTAATAGTCAAATCTTTGTCTTCCTGAATTACAATCTTTGAAAATTAATACTTCATTTTTATTTCTTCTGTTATGGCAATGTTTTTGTTTAGACTTGACTGAATATTTACAAAGTTATAGCAAATGTCACAACTATATATTTGTGAGAATCTGGAGTTAAGGGATTTATTTTAACAGATTTGTTAAAATATTTAAAATTTTTCTATTGGAATAATTTATCTAAGTTAAAAGGGAAACTTCTTTTAGTCACAAAGAGAAGGTCCCCTTTTAACTTAACAGTTTAGTTTTTCCAAAAGTGATAGTTCAAGTGCAATGTCTCACTCTTATATCAGCAAGACTGCCTGACTTCAATTGCACATCACATGCTTGGTGTGATTTTCCAATAATTCTATTGGAGGAACTATAGCATAAAACGTGAGACAACACCTTCCAACTTGATCTTGTATTGGAACTCTTGTTGTGGTGATGTTCTCTGATCCCTGCTTTGGCCAATGCTTTCATCCCTCTCCTGGTTCAGCACCTCTGCTCATCCCAAAGAACTCTCCATCATAGATAATGTAATTATCTTATGTAAACTCCCTCTCACCAGGATAGATTTCCTACACTTGCTATCTAGTTACTTAGTTCTGAGATAAACAGATTCATTGATAATATCCATTGAGTAGTTTATTATTTTTGATTTCTATCTATAATTATCTTACCTGGTTCTAATGATAGTAACTGGAAAGGCCTTGTTGCCTAACAATTATACAATGGAGAATTTAAATTCTCCATTGTATAATTGTTAAACCTAACCTTTATGTGTTTTATCATAGTTGTTATTCATTTGTAAATTATAATCTCCTATAATAAATATATACTGTTATATGAAAACTTGTATTTGGATTGGATCTATGCATAACTCCACTGTTAGCCCACATATTCATGAAATCCATGTAATGCACGTATCCCATGTTATTTAATATTTAAAGTATAACCTTCTAAAATTTCTGGTTGTTTCTAAACATCTTTAGCCACTTGAAAGATAATTATATAGTATATTTCTAACTGGTGTCAGGAATCTTGACAATAATTGGAGAGAGTTGAGCAGTATTTGTGTACTTATCAACTTTCAATGATTTTTTTTAACAGCCATCTTCAGTGAGACAGAAAGTACACCAAAGCTGACCCAGTTTTCACATACTGGTATCCCTTGATTTATGACCATATATAATTGTAAAGACACAGGCTTAGGGGAAAAAAATAATTTAATGTTTTGCAACTACAGGATTATCAGTCAATGATCTATTCTTACACAACCAGTTGCAGAAATATGAAATAATTTATGTTATCATGTAATTGATTATATACACATTGTCATGCAATCAGTTGTACTGGTCAGCTACCGAGTGAGTTTTTTTTACGTAGCAACATTTATATTAATTAAATAATGAATTCTATTTTTATGAAGTATATCAACAACCAACAGTTTTTATAATAAACTCTTTCATTGAATAGAAAATGAGGACTCACAATTACATAGTCTATGATCTTAATATTTGTGTGTGAAATTCATCTCATGAAATGGTAAAATGGAACTGAAATGAAATGGAAAGTCAAGAAACAGTGTCATCATTGTACCTATACAATAAAATTATAATTTCTTTGGATTCACATTCCTAATATGTCCGTATACAGGAAGAATTGTGCAAATTAAGATTAATTAACCTGTATATTAAAACTGTTATTTTAAGCTATCATATACATGAAAATTCTTTGTGGTTTTCAATTATCTGGCACATCCTTCCATCATGTCCCAGTTAATAGAGTTTCTACTGTAATAAGACGCAAGTTATCTTTAAAGTCATCTATCAGTAAAAGAAAAATTTAGTTTCCAATACATATTGTGAACTTTTAATAGTCTTTATAAACAATTTTTAATAGGAGAACACTGAAAAGCATTTCTTACTTTTAACAATTTTATCACAAAGCATAATAACTTCAGTTCCACCAGAAACAGGAGCAGAATAATGACTAAGTTTATAAATAGAAAGATCTGACATAGCTTCTGAAAAATAAATTATATAAAATATATAGTTAATGTAAAAATACTTACATATTATTTATAGTTGAATTTATATTTCAATCTTTATTTAATTAAGAATGAAATTAAACTAATAGAACTGTTTTTACTTACTTTTATCATATATGATATCACTAACTACTGGGGTTAAAGATACTGTGTACTTATCATCTGGTCCCTTAATAAATGCTTGAAAACACAACCGTACAGAACTTAGATCAAGATCATTAATAATTGAAGAATGAGAAAATCCAGCTAAAAATAGAAATTAAGCAAATTAATTATGATTAATTCATTAGAAGTCAATAAAAAAAACATGGCAATTTAATTTGCTTACTTAGAAATGGATCTACTTTTATGTTTTCGCGAAGTTTTAATGACTCTTCAATATTCTTTTTCTTAACACATTGAATTCCTAGACTTGTAAAACTAGAAAAAGTTAAATAATAATAAATTACATAATTTTAATATATGTTAAATACTTTAGAATGGTTCCAAGATTAAAGAAATCAATGTATTATACAATTCAATAATTTAACCAGCATTAAATTGTTTTGAAGTAGTTAACTATTTCAACAATCATCATTTACATTATATAAGGGGTGTTCAAATGAAAGTGATTCGAGATGTGTATCCATGAGATGCGTAGGGACAGAAATAAGACAGATACATAGATAGAAAAAACAATATTTAATGAGTGAATTGCATGCAAAGTTTGTTAAAAGAAATCATCCATGGAGTTTAGGCAGGTGTCCCATTGCTTAGGAAGGTTATGAATTCCATCTGCAAAAAACGATGTCGATTGATCATGGAACCAGTTCAGAACTGCAGCCTTTACGTCATGAAATCATTGACCCATTACACTTTTCTTCAGCGGTCGAAAGATGTGATAGTCGCAAAGCAACAGATCTGGAGTGTAAGCTGGATGTTCCAGGACTTCCCACTTTTTATGGGCCAGTGCCTTGACACACACCTTGGCAACATGTGGCCTTGGATTGTCATGCAGAATGATGACACCTGATGACAGCATATGAGGAAGTTTGTTTTTGATAGCCTTATGCAGCTTATCAAGTGTTTGGGTGTACCAGTGGGCATTGATGGAAACGTTTGGCTCCATAAACTTCAGTAATAGGGGTCCCTGCATGTCGAAAAATGCCGTCAACATCACCTTTCCGGCTGACTGCTGAGTTTTGAAATTTTTGTGCCTAGGTGAGCCAGGATGTTTCCATTGCATGCTGATGGACTTCCCTTCCAGTTAAAAGTGATGACACCAAGTTTCATCCCCTGCCACTATGTGCTGCAGAAAGTCGTCACCGTCATCCCTCTAGTGCAACAAATGCTGTAAACTCAGGCCCATTCGCTGTTTCTTGTGATGTTCAAACAGCATGCGGGGTACCCATTGGCAACAAACTTTTCGATACTTCAGAATGTCGGTGACAATATTGTGAATAGTACCAATGGAAACCTTTAACTCATTTGCAACGTCACGAATGTTTTGACGTCGATTTCCCTTGACTGCAGTGTCAGCTTCTCTGTCACAACTTTGTGTGTCTGACCGGGCTGCAGCAAATCCCTTGTCTCATGTCAACCGTTGCTAAACATTCTCATCCACCTCGTCACCGTGGGCTTCGACACACACGTCACTAAACACAGCCAGCATTCTGCGATGAATATCCACCAGCTTACACCCTTCCAGTGTTAAAACTTAATTACAGCTTGCTGATCCGTTTTGGATGCCGTTGCATCCACACCAGCCATTTTGAAATTAATGCCACATCCTTACGAATGAAGTTATCACAAATCTGGTTGCGCACATGCATGCGTGGTACATAAACCTTCACTATCGCGTTTGTTTCACGAAAATACATTGAAAACTGTTCACATGTGACGCTTTGAATCACTTTCATTTGAACACGCCTCTTAAAATAATTTGCATATAGAGAAGAGTCTGCTAATTGCAACACAAGTATAGTTATTAGTTATTCCAATTTTGAAACTGTTCTGTACACAATTTCACTTTTGGTGTAAACATAATACATTTTGCTATATTGCATTTATGTAAGAATAGTAGTTATTTAATGTTATCAATATTAATGGATACCAGAACACAAGTTAAAATAAATTATAAAAATTTTGCTTATTTTACTCAAAATTCATTTATCATTATTATTCTACATCAGTCCAAAGTAATCACATTAAGCAGATTCTATTGTACTAGATAATTACTGTAATTTTGTGTGAATAACCTGTGGGTTATCTGTATTTGAAATATAATTCGAAAGGGATGTATCAATAGTTATGCAGTGGGGTAGATTATGTGCCAATTTTAAATTCCATTGTTCATGTGTTAAAAGAGCATAAATGATTCAAACAAATATTAAAATCATTGACTTGTGACAAGATTCTAAAAATAATGAGCAAAAATTATTGTGACATCATCACAATGCCAGGCTGCAATTTTTAATCATATTTTTAATTTATTTAATTTAAGATATATGCTCCGTATCTCAAATTATTATTAGTGTCTTGCCCCTGTATGTCATACTTTTCCTGACAACAACAGATTCATGCCTATAATCTATGTAACTCTGTTCTGGGGAAAATTTCTGAATTGAAATCACATGACTTTTGGTTTATACCAGAAGTTTGTATATTGATAATTGGAGCCTCACTCCCCTAAGCTTTTCATATCTGGTCTTGACTCTCATCTATCTAGCATCGTTCTTGAGATTAAGGAAAGACAGACAGACGTAAGTGGGAATTTACAGATCTACAATTTTTTCAAACTGCAGCCCAATTAACAATTTATTACAAAATTATAATATTATCATCATTATTATTTATGTTCAACTGACAATAGTTCCTCCCAGAATAAGAATTCTATCACAAGTTAAAAACCTACCAATACAATAACTTCACTTGCAACACGATACACATGTTACTAAAAATCATCATGTTATGGAATTTCATGCAATAAAAACAACATGACTTATGGTAAAAATGGAGTTATGGAGCAGAATACTCAAAACTTGAAGTCATTACAAAATATTTTATCATTTCAAGCTTCTCATCAATACTTAAAGCTATCCTTTTTCATTTGCAACTTCATTAGAAAAAAAAAAAACCAAGATTTTAGTTGTGTTTAATCAAGAAAAGTATACAAATTACGAAGAATAGTGTAATACACAAATGAATCTGCTGGGATAAAAGAGAAGATGCAGTGTGTAGATTTTGTATAATCCTCTATGATTCACTACATTCAAATAGGTAACTTTTTGTGTTCAAGTATCACAGAACACAAAAAGTATTCAATAGCACAGAGCATAAGCCATTCCATGTACAAGTTGACGTCATTTTGCATATTGTTAATTTTATTGTTTTACTTAAATACTGCACATGAATACAGTCGACCCCCCTATAATTACGATTCCTATAAAACTGCGAAAAAATTGCGACGGTATCCGTAAAAAAACTCCTATAATTACGTAAAACGTCATCGGGCAGCCGAACTATTTTCCCGCCGTCCGTAGCGCCACGCTACGGAGAGATTTCTATCGTCTGGACAGTATTATATAAATTATATATAAATTAAGTACTGTACATATAATTATATATTAATTATATATAAATTAGGTACTGTATATATAATTATATATTAACTTATTGTAACTTTATTATTGTAACTTTATTATAATTAAATATATAATTTCCACCGTCTAGCATGGCGCCACGCTACGGAGATTTTACGCTAACTATCGTCTGTACAGTATGTAAATTACATACCGTAAGTCTAATACAGTACTGTAATTTTATACATTTCTTGTGAAAGAAACATTTCTTATTCAACGGCAATTAAAATTATTTATATTAATGATGTCTCCAAAGTTCAACGAAGTTTTCGCAGAAAAATAAGTTGTTAGAAATCGGCTGCTATTTGCTGAGCTGTTCCACGACAAAAACAAGCTTTAGCAATGGCGATGTCGAATGGTGCACACTCAGTAAGTAATCCTACAATTTTTTGTTTATAGCGTAGTTTATATGGATTATTTCCAAAAAATATATACATATTTTGGAAATGTTGAGTCGGATTAGTCTAGAATCGATTAATTTTATGGAAGAAAACCTTTCAATCAGCCGTAGTCCGTAAACTTCACACGTTTACGCTGTGAATTGGAAGGACTCGTAAGAAATCAGATTCCTAAAGAATGGAACGTATCTATGATGTTATAGGGGGGTTGACTGTAATTAGAAACATGTATTATAACAAAAGAGACTACAGATTTAAATTTGGAATCCCAATATTTAAGCAAAACAAGATATTCGGTTGTTCAGAAAGTTCATAGTGATTTTTGATAGATGACAGTTGAGACACTGATTGACAAAAAAATTATTAGAATTGTACAAACCAATGAATATTATGAAAATTGACCTTAAGATGTATCTGTTATAATAAAAACCGTTAAGATTATTCAAATATTGTTTAATTTGTCTCATTCGAAAATGGATGCAAACAACGTCCATTTTCAACACTTGTTTTTTTTTTATTTTATTATCATAAAGGCAAAAATGCTGTACAAACAGCAAAAGAAATATGTGATGTTTATGGTGGGAGTGCTGTAGCAGAATCAACTGTTCAAAAGTGTTTGCTAAATTTAAAGCAGTAATTTCAGCCTTGAAGATGCTCTCTTCTCAGGAAGACCTCCCATTATTGAAGAGGACCAGATCAAAACATTATTGGATGAAAACCGCATTACTCAACTCAAGAGATTACAGACATAGTGAAGTCATCAAACAGTACTGTATTTCAACATCAAAAGCAGCTCAGATACATGAATCGTTGCAACATTTGGATACCTTATGACATAACAGAAAAGAATTTACTGGATTTCATCACCATTTGTGATTCTCTTCAAAAACAAAATGAAAATGACCCATTTCTGAAGTGTTTAGTGACAGGTGATGAAAAGTGGATTGATTATATCATCATCAGCCAAAAATGATCACGGGATAACAAAAATGAACCACCATTAAAAACTCCAAATGTTGGTCTTCATCCAAAGAAGGTCATGCTCACAATCTGGTGGGATTGGAAAGGAATCCTGTATTATGAGCTGCTTCCACAGAATCAAACAATTTGATTCTGATAAGTATTGTTCCCAATTGGATAAACTGAACATTGCAATTAAAGAAAAAATGTCTGGAATTGGACAATAGAAAAGGCATTGTGTTTCATCAAAGTAATGCCAGACCACACACATCTTTACGAACATGCCAAAAATTATTGGAACTAGGCTGGAATGTTTTACCCCACCCCCATATTCACCTGACCAAGCCCCATCGGACTACCATTTGGTCTGTTCTCTGCAGAATTCCCTTCGTGATAAAAACTGATACTTTGGAAGCTTGCAAAAACCACTTGAATCAGTTTTTCCCAGGAAAAACTGAAAAGTTCTACAAAGAGGGTATCATAAAGCTCCTCTGTAGATGGCAACATGTCATTAAAAACAACAATGCCTACGTAACGGAATAAAAGTATATTTTTAGTTTTAAAACAGTTTCTTTTTTTTCTCTTAAAAATCGCTATGAATTTTCCAAACAAAGCAATATAATAAAAAATAGCAAAGCAATATTATGAACAATTTATAAACGGATTAAAACTGAAAACTAAAACTATACCTGTATGTCATATCACTATTGTTGATTATTACAGTACATACTCCTTGTCTGCAACCTTCTTTACCCACTAGATTATTTGGATGTGCTCTGTAAGGTGGATCTTTTGTCACACAAGAAACTACAACTACAGCTGATCCAGAATAATTTTGTATCTAAAAAAAAATATTTTAAAATTAAAAATATTGTTATACCAAGTAATAAGAAATCAAATATGTCAATTTACTTGTATAGTTGGATATGTTTTATTTGTTGATGTACTGTTGACTCCAGGTATGCTTCCCGCTGATCTCCCTTCACATTCATATCGAAATCTTATAGATCTACTGGCAGGCTGTTCTAATATGACAATTCTTGGAATAGCTGATGAGAGTTTAGACTTACACATCTCATCTGACTGCCCGGGTTGTTGTCCTCTGATAACTTCATCTAAATAAAAATATTTCATAATATATAAATATTTTTTGTGTTTTAAATTATTATATAAATAACAAAATTCTGAAAAATCTAAGTTTTTTTATTCAAAACTCATCAAAACCATGATGTTCATTTGATTTATGCTCCTGATTTCCAGATTTATATGTTTATAGTTTAATTTATACTACTAATGTGATTAACATAGAATTTTTACCTAGGATAAGAAGAGTTGCATACTCAATGTCTTTTAAAAAATTACCTGTAAAATATACAAAATAAATGCAAATACATCTACAGTATGTTTAATGCCAGCTTTATATATATATCTGAGAAACTTGTTTGTTTATAAATAAATGCATTTAAACATAGAAAATTCACACCTTTCTCATACTTTCCTGCAGAAACTATTTAATAAGCAAACATTTTTTATCACATTTTGGGGTCTGTGAGACTACAGGGGCGTTACTTAAGTGATTAGCAATGCACTCCCATCGGAACTTAAGGTCTGCTCACGTCTAAGGATGGCCTTTTTAAGTGGAAGTGAAGATCAAGATTGTATGATCTCAATCCCATCACACTGACACCAGTTAAACTATTATTTTGTAATTTAACTCGCGATTTAATTACCATGGCTATTTCTAAAAGGAGGGTTAAATTATTTTGAGTGGGGAGTGCATAGGTAAGTGATAGGATGTCTGGCCATGAACAAACCAAAGACACTCACAGTTAACAAAGGAATAACAACATTTAATAATACAAAATACAGTAATACCCTGAACTTACACGATAGGTGGGACCAAGCAATAACCACGTAAGTCGAATTCGTGTAAGTCGGGGTATAATTTTGCAATTTGTGTAAAATCCAAGTCAGATGTATGTAAGCTAATAAATATTCTCGTTAATCTTATCTCGTCTTTTGATTCATTCACAGTTACAAGAAATCACCACATAGAGTCTCTCAAGTCTCCGTAGATATAACAAACACAGAAATAAATAACACAAAATAAACTGTAGCTATGTGTCTATTCCGCATGACATGTCCGAACATGTAAGCTGAACAACAGTGTGGGGGGAATGAGTAATCAAGAGTTGCATGGCGCTCATACAAAAGACGAATCGATGATATTTGAAAATCGTGTAACTCCAAGTTCGTGTAAGTCGAGGTATTACTGTAAAATAAAAGCAGTTTACAAATGGACTATTCCAAACTTAAATCTATCTTAACTATCCTGTCCCTAGTATGAGAGATATGTGAGAGAAAGAGAAAGTTTACAAATCTAATATATTACTTCATTTATAATGGGATTGATAACAATTCTGTACTTTGGGCAGAAGTTCTTTCCAAGAAGTATGGCACTAAGTTTACATTGTGGAGGATATAACGATATGCACGGATTTTGGCACGTATCCCTCCTTTATATTCTTTTTCTCATCCAATGGATGTTAAGAGTTAAGATCATCTGACAGAGTATCATGATGGATCTTTTTGATTTAGTCAGCCCTTTAGTCATGGGAGATAAAGATCTTTTGCAGGAACTTACTGTCATCACAGAATACATTTGTTCCTTGTTCTCTTTGACTTTTAGCTTTGATAAAAGTATAAAAATTTTATATTTAATTTTTAAATGCTTTTCTATTAATTTCTAGAATATTTTATCTCAAAATATTCAGAATATCACACCTGCATCAGGTTACACGTATACAAAATTGAAATGTCTATAGCAAGTTCAAAGCTAGGAACATTGCACACACTCTTTGAACAATGTCAAAAATAATGATAAAATGGAAAATTCCATTTTAAACGTTATTTGTACCTTATGATTAAAATACAGCAAGATAAATCCCATCACAAGAGAATATTAATATAACTAATCAAAGTATTTTTGAAAAAATTATTTGATGAATCTTTTCCATTCAACTTTCATTTAATTTTCTAAAATAAATATTTCATTCTGTTCTATATGTTGCCATGTAAGTCAACATAACACTGCAAATGTCAACTGTAAACAGTGATTTGATATTCCCCTGTATGGATATGATGTTAAAAATTGGGATTTTGTAAGGTTTTCATACTTTCATCAGTGAATGCACAATGAACATTTGTGAGATCCGACCTCAGAATAAGCCCAAAATTGTTCATTTTCACCCCTAAATTTTCGACGTATTTAAAATAAATTTGTCACCTCCTCGTTAAAATAACATTGTCAGAAAAAAGAATCAAATATCAATCAAAACTTATAACTTTCATCGTTAATATAAACATTCAATCCTCGAACAATGACATTCCTCTGCTGCAAGACAAAAAGTTTATAGTTAAAGTCCGAATTCTTCATTTTGTTTTGGTCCCGGGAACAACTTTGACCTCTATACCTGCAGGACCAACTCTATCTCACACAATAGGAGATCACCTGACTGATTTTCCCGGTCCAAAGTTATAAAAGCGACTTCTTTCTCCCTCCTCGGGGGAGTCTCACATCTACGGTCTAAAAGGATTAAGTCTCCGGGAAACTTTAACTGTGTGCATCGATCACTGGCAAAGAGGACTAAATTTTTCCCACCTACGTGGAAGTAAACTAGAGGTATGAACAAATAATTGTAAACTCTCTCTCCGCGAGTTAGGTGCTAATAGTGAGATAAATTCATTTCCCCATGTTAGATTTTTTAACCTTTATTTTTTTCGTTAGTCTAATAAATGGTTGTTCTCATTGTTAATTAAATGGTGTCCTTTTACTCGTATATTGCCTACGCCTCGTCAAAGACCCCTCTCACCTCTTCCACTCGACCTGACAAAAAGCATCCAGACCCTTTGGGACCACATTCGAAATTTAGCCATCTTGACACGTGAGTAGGTTTAACGACCTGTTGCCGAAAAGGGAGAGTCAACGGTTTCCGACCTCCCCGATGGCTCCCATACATTGATATTCCGCTTGCATGATGATATATGATAAAAAAATAAGCGACAATGACATTTTCTTTTACACAAACATCTTTCGTATATTTGTGCTCCATCATTTGATTGAATAAAAAAGTATTTGATGTAGGGAAACTTCCGAGGAAACATTACAAAAAAAAAACTATTCACCATTAGGGTGTGGCCGTCGGCCATAGTGTTACATTTTTTTTTTCATTTTAGTTTGTAAGATAGTTTTTAATAGTTTCTTATTCCCTTTGTTCTCAGTCTGTCTAAAACTTTCTTTTCATTTCCTTTCTTCCCCCTCTGGATGAGACCACCAATTCCAAGAACTGAAGACAATGGACCACTAATCCCAAGAACTAAAGTCAATGAGTTACCAGTTTCAAAAACTTGAAACAAAGGGGGAGCCAAGACCCGAGGGCAGACAAGAATAAAGAACAAGTTAGTCTGGAGTGGACCTTCGTGGTGGTCAGGAGAGAGAGAGAGAGAGAGAGAGAGGAGTGCTCTACATCAGAGGTGACTTGTGACTGAATAATTCTGAGGAAAGGACGTTTTGGTTACTAGGGGCGAATAGAGAACTCTAGGGTCAGTGTGGATCGAGGTCCCTGCATTAGAAAGAGAGAGAAGTTATACATCGATACATAACTGTGAAATTCAAATTGGTGATCATCCAGTGACCATGAGATAATCCCAAAACCCCAGGTATTGTGATCTTTCTTCTTTTCTGTCTACTGTCTCATAGAATCTGCTATGCCTTTAGGTACAAGTTAGTGAGTAAGTGTTATATTTTAGTTTCTGCACATGTACTACTGTTGCGAATTTACTTGTGGTACTAAACAATTGATTACTGTGTATAGTGTAAATTTAGTGGAATGGGAACCAATAAGAACCTAGTTCACGAGCAACAAATAAAATACTTGTGATTAAAAGACTTTACTAAGTATTCTTTGTGCTAGTCTATTCGGTAGTCTATACACATGTTGCTCACGAACATTACAAGAGAATACTTAACTGATTACAGATGTATGATTTCATTTATACCATGTTTTGTTTCAGATTTTATTATTAAATGCAGGTAAAATAATGTGTAAATTGGTATGTCCACAATCAATATGTAAAATGCCAATTCATGTAGTCTAATGTATTTAAAAAGGAGGAAAATGTGAATCTAAAGCTTTCAACATTTTCTTAGCCTACTGATTGAGGTACTGCCTAGCCCCCTCTTTTTGGAAACATTTTCTGAATCAATACATAATTAACATTTAAGTGTACAGCATAATCTTATTTTTCAAGAGAGGCTCCACATATCATGTTTGCAATATGTGTTAGTTACATGTTTGCCAGTTAGTTACATCCAATACACATTCATTTTTTTTGGATTATATAAAATATCATTGTTAAAGTCATATAATTAGAAAAGTGTTGCTCTGTCTTCTGAGCATTTACACTGAAGACGGGCTCATATGGCCCAAAATGGATTTGTGATTTGCAATAAAGGAGTACCTAACCTTATAGCTAAGATAAAGTCTACCGTGTTTTACTGATTCAGATTAAAGAGACATATAAATCAAACTACATATTCATCAGCTACCACACCTGATATTGTATTATATTTGCTACTTGATTACATATGTGTAAATAATCTGTCTGTGCCAAGAGCTTGCACCCAGAAGTGATGTGTTGTATAGTTTCTGGCATGATGTGACATTTTCTGCATGTGTCATTTGTGAGTGTTGTACCTTTGAGTATGTGTTTTCTGTAGTTTTTAGTATTTATGACCTGATCCTGTACGGCAATCATGAATCCTTCCGTCTCCCCAAAGAGACATCTCCAAGCTAACCAGCTGTTTGACGCAGTTTTGTCAACAAAATCCTGGGCCAGGTCATAAGGATGCCATGGAGTGCCTTTCGAGCCCACGACTGCTTGATGGTATCTATACTTTTTATGTGTTGTGTCATATCTGTATGACGTGAGTGTAAGTTTAATGGTGTGTTATTTGAGTTTGCTAGAGTTACTGCTTTATGTAACTGTGATGTTTGTTGTTTCTTGTAGAAAAACTCTCGTAGTGACTGTATTTGTTTGTAGTGAAGGTTTATAATGTCAATCAGGCCATGTCCACCATCTTTACATGAAAAGGTTAATCTTTCTGTGGCAGATTTAGGATGTTGTTGTTTATGCTTAGTAAGTGTTGTTCTTGTTTTCCTTTGGAGTTGCTCAAGATCTGTGTGAGTCCAATGTATAAGTCCAAAAGAATATGTGAGTACTGGGATGACATATGTGTTTATTGCTTTAACTGTGTGTTTTGCTTTAACAGTGTTCTGAGAATAGCATTTAACCTACTTTGGTATTCTTTAATTAATTTTTGCTTTATTTGTGTATGTTCTGTTAGTGTGGCTTGTTGGAATCCTAAATACTTGTAGAACTCGCCCTCTTCCATGGATTCAATAAAGTCTCCATTTCCAAGTACAAAATCTTCTATCTTCAGGATTCCTTTTTCTATGTGAAGTGTTTGCATACACCAAGGACATACAAATGGAATTTGTATGTCCTTGGTGTATGAGTGTGTAATTTGTAGGAGTTGATGAAGTTGTTTTTTGTGTGGATGCATAAAGTTTTATGTCGTCAGTGTACATGAGATGTTACAGTGTAAACTGTGTTGTTTATTTATGTATGATATTGTAGCCATATTCTGCATTGTTTAACATGTTGAATAATGGGTTCAAGGCTAGACAGAACCAGAGGGAACTCAAGGAATCTCCTTGAAAAATTCCTCACCTAATGATATTTGGTTTGTTTGTATGGAAGTGTTACTAACCCTGAGATGTAGTGTTGTTCTCCAGTGCTGCATAACATTTTGGAAGAATGCAATGAGTCATGGATGTATTTTGTACATGTGTAGAATATGTAGCAGCCAACTGTGTGGAATGCTGTCGAATGCTTTTCTGTAGTCTATATATGCCATATGTATGTTTCTGTGTTGTTTGTGCGCTTGCCATAGAATGACTGAATCTATGAGTAACTGTTCTTTGCATCCCATGATTTCTACGGCAACCTTTTTGCAGTTCTGTAAGAATGGGTTCCCTACCAGGAGCATGTGCTCCAGCCTGCATTGCCCTATGGATCAGTAAAATTACTGGGCTCTCCCACCACAACCAGGTGGTAACCATGGGAGAGTCGCCATCATCATCCCATCTCAATTATATTATAAGATTAGGGTCAAATTTATGAGGAATTTTGTTTAAATTCATTATTGAATTTTAACTGAATAAATCTTTAGTATTTAAAAAATTTTATTTTTTATTCAATATTCATTATTTTCATCATCATCAATATTTTTCAAATATTCTAAGCAAAAATTATATACAAACTGCTCACTTGCCAAATCAATTAACTCCACTAAACAACAGAGAAATTGGTAAAATAACACACATTCTTTTTAAAGTTCTTTTAAAATTTAAATTTAAATAAACATTATTGAATGTATTATTACAGGCATAGCTTTTATCTAACAACACATAAAATAATATTATTCAAAGGATATATTATTTTTACATTTTTTGCATAACTAAGAGAATTAAATTTGGCCTGTGAACATTCCGTACAAAGTGATTTCTACAATTACGATATCAATATTAATAAAACTTTAATGACATTTTTTAACAACTTACCAACATCTTCAATAGTGATTGACTCTTGTCTAGGCAAGTTCATATTGCTTGTCAATTCACCATTGGTATCAGTAAATCTAAAAAAAAAAAAACATCATTTAGAAAATATATTTATCATATTGTGATAAAATAAATAACTATTACTATTTCAAATAAAATCTTCATCCATTAATTAAATAATTATTTCTTCACGTATTTTTAGTAATTAAGTAGTAAATTAAAATTAATAAATCACCATCATAATCATAATGATGACAATTTATATAACAATATCAAATTACTACAAATTATGAATATTTTCATATTTATCAAGCAGCAACTCTTAATAAATACATAAATAAGGTTCGATGTGTAAAACCTGACGAAAAAAATTATATTTATTAAAAAATATGAAAACTGGCAGAAAAAATGCATTTGATTCTGGGTGTGACACATAGTTATGAATTTTAACGTACTGTATTAAATGTCAGAATGATTAAGGTTACAGCGTTCACATACTTTATCACATACTAAAGCCTGGAATCATACATACATTTTAGCCTGATATCATTAAAAGATGGAATACGATGATTTTACATCTCTCTCTCTCTCTCTCTCTCTCTTCCTCCTACTTTAATAAGGAAAGGAGATAATATTTTTCTATTACCAAGTGCCAAATTTTCATTTGTAACATTAAATAAATATAGTAGAACTTGAATAATTTGCAATTGAAGGGACTACAAAAAAATTTGAATTATCAAAAATTTTTAATTAGATACGTTTGAATGTTGACATAAAAAATATGTAAATAAAATACAATTCTGTGATAGTAAATTAACAAGCAATTTATTATAGTATTTACTGTAATTACAGTACAGTTTAGTACAGATACATTATATAACTTGTATTATATTATAAGTTGTTTAGTATTACATACAGTACTTTTGCCAATTGCATGTTTTAAAAAAGCTTAAAATTTTGAATGAACTGATTGTTGATTTTATAATTTATATATACACACATATATTTATATATACTGTACACACTCAATTTGATCCACAGGCTCAAATAAACTCACAGCCCACTAGTATTTAAAAACAAATTTATAATACTTGAATGAACCCATTGTTTTCAATATTGAAAGTTGAAGTGGATTTATTCAAAAATCACATTTTCTAAGCTACAGATTATTGTAAACAACTATTCAAAACTGCAATCTGGGAAATTATTTCTTGTCATCTCCTACTTTTTGATTTTCATTTAACAGTTCTTATAGCTGCTCACACCAACACACATAAAAGCTAATTTTAAAAAAATACACACATATATCGTTTTAATTTTCATAACATTATATTCCAGTTATACTTTAGTACAATAAACAGCATATTGCATACAATAATTAATTTTATTTGAAAATCCTTTCATATTATTAGAAAGTAATTAACTATGAAATTCATATAATCATAATGTAACAAATCTTTTATGTTATGATTTTTATTTGATTTATTTCATTACGTATACTTACATTCTACAAACACTCTTCACTTAAAGACTAAGTTCTGTTCCTGCAACTAAAACTGTTAGAAAATTGGTCATTAAATGAGGAGTTTAATCACTTTTATTTATTCTAAATAAAGAAAAGATCTAAAAGAAACTCCAACTTGATAAACTTTGTTTTAGTGTGCACAGATTTATAAACAAAACATGTAGTCTTGCTGATTGTGAACGCTTTGCGAATACTGACCAACTGCAAGAACTAAACTAATATTAAACAAGGAAATTTCCCACACTGGAGAGCTAGTCACAAGTCCAAGCAATCATTAAACAAGTAGGTTGTTAGGTTAGGAGTGACTGTTTTCAACTTTTTAATTTATAATGTTAGAAATTTAAGCATCAGTATAAGCAATCTTCATATTTAAAATTTTAAAAAATATAGGTTCTTTTCTTAAAATATCACACATATATACTATCGATATTAAAAATAAAATAAATTTACATATTTTGTTTATTAGTTTTCCTTCATAAAATTTCAAATTTTTATCCAAACTCAATGCAATAATTTGAATACATATTTTAAAATAAAAAAGTAAGAATAAGCCAGATGATACAAAGCGACATTAACTCATAATTTATTATAGCCGAATACATCAATGCATAATTAATTTTATAGTACATTCTAAACTAACACATTAACATATCTTGTCATCAATTAACTATATTGACATTATCAAATGAAAATATCCAATTAATCTTCAAAATTTAAAAATCTTACACCTAATAATTTTTATTTGTCTTTTGCGAATACTGACTAATAATTTTTATTTGTCTTTTAATTATGCCATTTATTACAATGTATATAAATAATACAGTGTAAGAAACTGGTATTTATAATGATTATTATTCTTGTGCAACTTATTCATAGAAAAAAAACTATTCAGGAAGAGCACAATTGATTATTAATGTTATCATTCTTAATAATCTACAAAATTCTAAGTTGGAATGAAGCAAAGAATGCTAAAAAGAAAAAAAATTGCCTGGTTAACAAATTTTTATTCAAAACAAACCTGAAAATATCCTGTTTTATATAATAAAATATAAATGTTGAAATATATACAATTACAATATTTCTTACACAGGAAATTAAACTTATTATGTAAATCTTAGAAAATTATCTTTTCCAATTTTCACAATTAATAAAAACTGTTTAGTAATATTTTTGTTATTAATTTAAAAGGGATTATGCTGAATTCAGTATACTGTACTGTATATTAAAATAATATTTGTAACAGTTACATATAGATGTATATATTATTATTATGATACATTTTTTCTATATAATAAGCAGAGTTGCAAAGTCAGTAGACCAAGCCCCTAACTCCAATCTTAGAATTTTAGAAAGTCCAACTCCAACTCCTGCCTCTAAATAATTTAAAATATACTTTGATTACATTAACCAGAATGGCATTTCATCACTATCAAGTGAATCATCAGTCATTCCTATTGAAACTGAAAGTACTTATCTTTTTTTCACAGTTTTTCATTATCACCACTACATCTTAAACCAGAGACTGAAACACAAAATGTCTTCATCTGTGGTTATATTAAAATATTAAAAAAAAAACCAGATTTAACAAGTCATCTTAGTAATTTTTTGTTTGAGACATTTGTCAATAAAAATTTAGAATTAGCTAACATGGAATGTACAGTACTAGAGTATAAATTTCTAAAAAGTAAAAACAGATAATTAATAATATGCAAAGAAAGATCACGAAGTTGGATAGGAGAATCAAAAGATGAGATTTTACATTACAGGAGACTCCTATAATGCAGGATAAGAGTTTAACACTCCCATTAGGAGCTTAATATAAAGTACATAATAAAAAAAACATAAGAGTTGGAGTTGATTCATTTTACTAACTCCAACTCCTCTAGTAACAAATTTATTTCAGACTCTGACTTTATGTCTCAAAATCCTTATCAGGACTGTGGAATTGATTTTAAGTATTTTTTCTTTTTTATTAAATGAAGAAAGTACAACTATTTCAATTTACAAATAATATAGCATTACTCCCAAATATTGAAAACAATGGCCATTCAGATAGTGAGTTAACAAAATTGACTATTGATTATTTAAACATAGATGATAAAATAATATTAAGTGGAAAATAATGATAAATTATATAAGACTGACAACTATTAGAACTATTGACTTTTAAGAAACCAGTCCATTATTTTGTCAGTTGAATCAACTCAATCTCACAGATGCTGACAAGTTTGGATCGTTTGATTCATGTTAGTTCAGGAGAATATTAGAATGGTATCTCAAACATTAGAGGTTCAAGTGTCAAATTACAGATTATACATAAAGCTGGAATTATTATAATAGTAACTTGCATTAACTTTGCACATGTTTCCAGCAGCAACAAGACATTGCAAAATATACAGTACAAATGTTTTCAACTAAATAGGAAATAAACAATAATACAGGAAATCCTGGTTAGTTCAAAATTCAAGAAACAAAATAATTGCAACTTTGAATTAAGAACACATGGAACCCATATATTGAGCTTTGAAATGAAACCAATTTGTTTCAAGTAATCATAAACAGTTCAATTTGACAAATTTAATCTCTTAGTGATTTCACGTGTTGTTATTCAGCAGTTTGCTTCAATCAGTACCTTTATTTTGTTTTCATTGGCTTCAACTGGCCATCCAGAACATGGTGCATCTTCAATATTGAAATTGACAGAACAAAATTTTGTAAACCAGTTTTGGCACTGTCGTTCTGTCAATACATCTTCCCCATACACGTCACACAATTTTTTTCTCGCTAGAACAGCATTCTTGCCTTTTTGGTAATAGAAGAGCAAAATGCCAAAAATGCTGCTTTCAATCTTCCACATTTGATGGGACACAAAAAATAAACAATTGCATGAAATCAAACAAAATTTTTACAAATAAGCCTTAAAATGCTAGTTGTCAAAATATATGATAATACAGTTTAGAATGAAAATGATGGAAAAAATATGACTAATCCATCTAGTAGTAAAAAAAATGAAATTTCTTTCCGAACAACCTAATATATTACTAATCTAATTCCAGCATAATTTTAAACAGCAATAAGCAATTATTTATTGTGACAATGTATGTCACAATAAATAATTGGCCAGGTTACAATTTTTAAGCATATTTTAAATTTATTGACAAGACTATGTCTCCTCTCTAAAATCGTGCTACTGTCGATGGTTGCACACCTTAGAGGTATGAAGGAGTACATGTCGGAAATTGCAATTTGGCACAGAGTATTTGATGCCCAAATCATGCACACACAAAATAAACCAGTCTTGTAGGTTGTCAGGGGACCAAGAACTGGGTCAAAATAAAATATAAAATGCTAAGACTGTTTCTACAAACAGGCACGAGTGTAAGATTTGCACATGCATTGCTCACACCCTCCAAGACGTGATCTTGTCCCGAGAATGGCTTTGCCATTTTACTTGTTTAACTTAAAATATATGCTCTCCACCTCAATAAGTAGTGGCTTGCCCCTGTACCATCATATTTTTCCTGTTAGCAATAGAGTTGTGCTAGTCATCTA